TCAAAATGGACTCAAGCGAAAGTGGACATTAAATACTTTTCATATCTCGAGTGCCAGCAACCCCTGTGCACGCGAATGTCCATTACATAAATTAGAAAATGGCCAAGAGTGGATTTTAATCCACCTCCGTCACTTCCACGGCAGTGACGTAGCACAAGGTGGCTCTTCCACTTCAGAAAATGTTGAATTTGTGGGTGGATCTGCATAAAATTTCCACCCACACCGCCGGCAAGCCCGAAATCGCGGAGCTTCCATGTGGCGCAGCACCCTGAAAAATAACAATTTATCCCTGTGCTGCCTTTGTTGAATATCCCTTGTGGCTTTAATGCCATTTCACCTAGCCTCGGGTTGGAGCTGCGGAGCGACTCAACACAAGTGACTCATGAAGTCTATAAAAGCCAGCATCGTTAAACAGAAGACAGTCTGCCACACGCACATAAAACTGGACAATCCGCTTCCGATGGATGGTGCGCGATTAAAAACCTCTCGTGGTAATCGTTCGACAGTGAAAACATCAAATTCCACATCCGGAAGTGGTATAAAGTTCCCATCATCCGAGGGTGTAGTGTGTGAGACAAAGGCAAAAGTAGAAACTTTGTCGTCTTATCAATTTCCTCCGCAAATTTCCTGTGGATAAGATATGGAAGGAGTTGCCATGAAAAACCCGAGGAAAGTGTTTAAAGCTCCTTTCGTGATAAAGAGGTGTAATGAAATATTTCTGGGATGAGCTCGTGATTCTCTGGATGCTCTTAATCTTGATTACAGCATTTTTCAATTCAAAGAATTTAATCGGACTCTGGATTTTCAAGTTTATTTCCGAGAAATCACACGAGAATCCCATTTTTTCTGCAACCCTTCTATGAATATATTTCTCCAATAAATAAATATTGTAATTCAACTCATACGAAAACAAATATTAATCCTGATTCAAAACATAGAACAATTTACTAGATTTGTTATTCATAACAATTTTTTTGTCCCCTCTTGGTACTTTCACAAGAATCATCGCAATGAAAATCAATACTTGGAGAGAGATAAATAAATATTTCGGCGCTTTCCACTCTCATTTATTAACATTGTGTTTGAATTCACCAATACTTTGTAAAGAAAATTGTTGATTTGAATTCACAATGGAATTTGGGGTGCGATGTTTAAATACAAAATCACTCCGAGGATTCTTTTGAGTCTCTCTCATTGCAATTTTGTAAATATTTATGACTTTTATACAGCATCGTTTTGCCACTGTCATTCCGAAATTAATTTTATCTGGCGAGAGAGACAGTAAAATTTTAGCCAAACCATTCAACTTAATAAAACTATAAATAAATTTAGAGAGAATTCTCGTGTAGACATAATTAAGAATTCGCATTTTATTCCACATAATTTATTAGAAAACATATTTCTTTGACATCAAGACACTGGGGAAGAAAAAATGCACAGGAAATCCTTTGAACTTAAAACCTGAGGCGTTGATGTAAAGTGTATCAAAGGATAAATTTTCTTCCCATGGTGATGCGCAAGGATATGCGTGAATTTGCAGCAGGATTTGCATGCAAAAGCGATTATGTGAGGGAGAATATAAGGAGATACAAAGCGGAAACGCTGTACATAATCGAATTATTTATGTAAGCACGTGTTTTCATTAGCATTTCAGGGAAAACACTTCCAAGAATTAAGAATGTCACTTTGATATTTAATAACTCTATCAAGGCGTTCAATATTACAACTTTTACGGCGAACCCGTCAAAAGCTATCACTAAAAAGGTCCTGATTGCTTCTAAATAATATAATATAAATTTAGTGTTAGGTTGTTAAAAAGTTGAGAATTTCAGTGCGAAATTGCTCATTGCGATGACTCATGAATAAATGGAGCTCAAGACTAAAGTGACGCTGTTGTCAGAAGGGCGAGAAGTGCTTCCAAATAGAACGAATTGAATACCTGATAAACAGTTGACGTACAAATCACGGGGAAAATTTCAATAATTCAAGAAGAGGAGAAAAAATCAATAAGCAAAATGAATAATTCATATTTGTTACACCCTTGAACAATAGGTGAACCATCGAGACTGGCGAATTTGAATTACAGACTTCATGTTTCTTTTGCCATATAATTTTATCTCTTGAATATAATGTTTTCTCGTCGACAAGGAGGCCCTTTGTGGATTGAATACACAGCAAGAAACCTTTAATTTGGCGTTGCTGCGTGGGTGGGAGAAAATGTTGTAATATTCCATGCAAATATGCTGTGGCGTAAGGGTTAATTCAGGACGGAGGGGTGGGAAGGGTGCGGCGGTCCTCGACTTTTTCTGCCGTAAACATCGGGCATAAATGTTCCATGAATTGGAAACTTTCGCACCAGAGTGAAAACTATATGTGGCAGAAGCGACACACATGTTCGGGAAAGGATGAAAATGTCAGCTGATGTTTTTCCCTAGTCCCTCCTTTTTCGTCTCTCCTGCACCTTTTTACACATGAACGACAGATATAGTGGGGACGATCAAAAGGAATTCTAATGAAATCTCTACTCTATCGAGCATGAATTCATATTCACAGTTTATAATATCGAGAGCTTGGTGTAGGCAGGAAAGCTTGAAAGAGACATACTCTTCAGTCACACAACCGATCCAGCCAGTTTGGGCACTCCAATGGAACTTGATGGAAGGCATGAGGAGAGGGAGAGAAAATATGTGGAGACAGAGATGATAAAAATAGAGGATGGGATGAAAGCGATTTTATTGTTGAATGAAGCACAAAATTCTCTTGATTAGCCACATCGAAAAGGTCCTTCTCTAATCGAATAATTTTGGTCCTCGTGCCCAACAGCATTTTCTGTCCGCAGGAAATATTTCTCCATAGCGACCGGGGGTGAAATCAATTTGGGATTAAAATAAAATACTGTGAAAGTGTGTGGTCAATTAAGACAGTGAATAAGGAGGTTTTCTCCCCGGAGCTTAATTTAGCATTGTCAATATTGACGCCATGAGCCAACACCATCGATTTATATACGAAATTATTCAGACACTTCCAATAGATGCCACATAGCGATTTATTCCACTCCTTGTTCACCATCAATTCCGCCGCAAATGTCTGTCTCATGTATCCTTCCGGGGTTTGTGGGCAAAAACCCGGGGAAGACACGCAAACGCGCCACAATTACGTTGATTGCCGATCGTTGGTGATGGAGCGGAACCATTACGAGTCCGCGCCCAAACCACTATCGGCGAGATTATCACAACAATGCCGACATACAAATTACTCTGTAATTCAATTATAAGCACGGAGCATTTGAGGGAAGACGAAATGGAGCAGCGCTAGACTCTCATGGTCACGGGAAGGGGTTTCTTTCGGCCTCCAGCAGCATTGGACGGTTGTAGGCCGGCGGAAACTACTTGCCCGAGATTGTGAATCATCTGCAGACACGCCGCCGACGAGCTGAAGATGTTGGACTTTGCGAGATGCTGTATTTTTTCCTCATGTTTCAACACCCTTTCCAACAAATCCAATAAAGGAGCTAAAGGTTTAAACAATCACACTTTACAGCGTGTTCTCTTGTTACCTCATAGAAATCCAATTTTAGTGCATTACAATATAATCCCGCTTAAGTGGAGTCGTGTGATTGAACAGCAAATGAACTCCACTACATAAATAATGCAATTAAATCCCTATTAAATAGTATTATATCGTGAGACCATCAGATTTATTTTTATCGCAAAATTCTCCTCTCTCTCTCCCTCTCCCTCCTCTCAACCACAATGTATTAAACGGATATTTCCAAAAATAAATGTACATTTTATTAGTGACACGACAATAGTGGGCCCCACTTTAACGACATGCTCGCCATGTGATTCGGAAAAGTGCCTCCTGAAGAAATATGAGCATGCAGAGTGTGGGTAAACGACGTTCCATTGTGTTGCCAACGGCCCTTGCTGGGGCTAAATTGGAGCCCCCAAGACGGCGGCTGAGTTTGCTGAACTTGTGGGTGTATTTGATCTAGATTAAAACATCGTCATCAAATTTCTAATAGCACTATCAGTCGGAATTTTTCTGTGCTTGGAGGAAATTTTCATAAATCCCAAAGACAATTCCTTGAAGGTTCTCTATCGATTTCTCGGGGCGCCCCTCCCACTGGTGCCCTTATTTCAGTATACAATCGAGGGTACATAAAAATTGATTGCATATCATGGGATTAGTTCTTAATAATAAATATGGATGATTGGAGTCAATGCGAGTGTCTCTCCCTTGTGCCATTGTGTCGCACAGAATGGCGTGGGTGGAACAAATCAATCAATAAACTTACCTAAAGACTCAATTGGATCTGCCTCTATCTTAATATGATTCAATCAAGCCACACTCATCCACACTGTAGCTCGCAATGGTGGCTGAAATGCCAGCCTGAGCTGCGGGGTGAACGATTCTCAAAGTCAAAGTCGCATGAAATTGAATTATTCGTTATATCAGCAAACGAAATTGCGTTTGAAATATAATTATGGATGCGAGAGGCAACAATATAATGGTGGCGATGCTCCATGCGAGAAAGAATAGCGCAAAACATCGAGCATTGTGCGGCCATAGAGTCTCTGACACCCACAATAGCGCCGTTTCGCCGAAAAATACGATGGGCCACAGGAACAAATGGCGGCGACCGAAGAGGCGAGAATTTATTTTTATTCTTCCTGTCGACAAAATGAGATCGTCTGGAGTGATTAGAGTAGCGAGAGAATGGTTATTAAAATATGATTCAATAGCTCCCCCATGCTCACCTCTGAGGCGTCCCATTTCTCGGTCGATGCCACTGAAGCTCCCACTCGCTCTCTCGATGTGCTGTTCTGGGCAGTGGCGATATTGTTGCGTATATTTTTATGGCACATAATCCACCCAACTTCCAGCCTCAGGAAGTTGGGAGGACAAAGCTGTATTCAGAGGGGCTCGTCTATCTCATTATTGGGGATTCACCAAGTGGCCATTATTGACAACAATCGCCTTCCTTCCTTTTCTTGCAGATCCATTAAACCGAAACACTTTTGGTCATCGAGTGTGGAGAAAGGCAAAAATCCCGTGCTGGACTTCCTGTCGGCCGCCCTCGAGTCTGTCGAGTACGAGAGGGCTCTAGCGAGGGGCTTGGTGAGTCTCATTTGAATATCCCGGTCCGGAATGTGACTTAACAATGCTCGGGATATGTGATCATAGCACTTTGCAGTGTGCTAGTGATAGGGTTGTCCTCACATCATGCTTGTGAATTCCCACAGGCGATGCCGGAGTGTCGCGTGATTCCGTGCTTCAAGGCGTTCCTCGGCGAGCTGAAGGAGATAATGTCAACAGGTTTCCCCGTGGTGCCGCCGCACTCCTCGTGCGTTCCACCACAAGTGGCCAGCGACCCCATTCAGATCGATATCGAGCCGGTGGGGCGCAACAGCACCGCGCCCACGGCCACAACGACCAGCACCGTGGACAGCGTGAACCGTGGCGTCCAGACGGGGTCCGTGCGCAGCCCGCAAGAGCAGAGGAGGGAAGTCTCCGCGGCGACTGGTGGCAAGTGCCCCCAGCGGAAGGTGGTGAGTTTTAATTGCACGGAAACCTGGGGTCAGTCTGAAAGAGTTATGAGGCGCAGAGACGCTCCGGAGTCAAGCTATGCGGGCGAGAGAATAGATTCCCCATGTGTGTGTTGGCGAGAATGGAGTGAATGAGTAGTGAAGTAGGTGGCATTCAAACAAGTTTCCTGCCTCCATCGTCGACCTCATGACACCGTGGCATTTACTGTATCGCCGATGCTATCTCCACGAGGGTGGAAAGGGTGGAATCAATATGCGATGAGGGTGGCCTCGGGGGTGTTCCACACAGAACACGCACAGAAGCACAGAAGGTGATTTAAAATTATCGTTTCGAGAGTTATTTTGACAGGGGTGACAGAGAGACTTTTCAATATTCCCGCACACATCTCTATACACTGCGATTGGGGCGCACGCGGGGCGCTCGAGGCGGCGTCCTCGGAGACGCTGAGCTCCACCACTCGAGCGTGATGGAGGTGTCCTGTCAACCCCCGAATAATGCTACTGAAATTTATTCACGTCAATTGTTTGCCTGTTTGGTTCGTTATTACCATTCCCTCCGCATTTTTCTGTCTCCCACTATGTTTCAAGTAATCATTCAGCTATCTCCCCAGCGGCCGCCCTTTCCCCCTCAGTTCTGCACAACCCCGAGTTGAGGGATTGCCAGATGAAGAAGAGACTTTGAGCGGTGTAATTGCGATAATTTGCATTATTAAAATAGCTGGTTATTAAAGGATTAGTTAGTATTTAACGATAAATATCACTTTGATGCGAAAATTTCAAATAAGCACTCTTTTTAATCAAAATTTAGATCAATTGAATTACAAATATCATGATGGTGGAATTATGATATGCGCTCAACTCTCGATTGCAAATATAATTGAATTGATTTCTGGCTAACACAATTCTGTATTCAGTACATGTCAGAAGAGTTAGAATATTAATTCAGCCAGTACATTTACATTAAAATTTCATTCGCAGACAGAATTAAATTAAGATCGATCAGACAAAAAGTAGTTTAAATTACACAACAGCAGAAAATACTGGATCAAAATGTGGAAATTTGAAGTGTGTCCAATTGAGCAGAAGATTTTTCCGGTGTGGTTTAATGCGCTTAGCTTGGATTTCTTGAAATCATCTCACAGGATTTTGCACCATGCTCATTTTAACGAGATTTTACACCTTTTTTGAGTGCACTGAGCTGTTCTCATGTGCGCCATTCATCATTTAACAGCATGTATAAGTAAGGAGGGCAGTTGACTGAAAATCCTGGCGGATTTAGTTCAGCCCGCAGAAAGTTTCGTCCGGATTTTTAATCAAGCTAATCTCCTTACAACTCAGATTCACGGGCATTACTCAGTTGAATGGCAATCCATATTCAAATGCAAGCGCTCACCGACCTTGACCCAATCCCACTCTGGATGCTGGCTGAATTATACATGCCCTCTCTGATTATTGAATGTATGCAGACACCCCGGGTTGCCCTTCACGAGCAGCTGCCACCCACAACTCATCAGCAACCCTCCCGGGCGTGCTGGAGAGCGGCCGGGGAGATTGATGTTGGGGTGGATGTGTAGTACAGGGCGGTGGCATCCACGACAATATGCATAAAAGCGCACCCTTCAATTATTAAGGCTCTCTTGGCGCCATTGAAATCCACCAGCATTTCATATTAATGGAAAGATGATGACAGTTGGCTCCGGCCACAACTCAAAGGCCGCCCGCCCCCGGCCGCCCCTCGGGGCCTTTTTCGAGTGGCACGCTCAAGAGATGAGGGAAGATGAAGGCGTCGCTTCCAATTTGAGGTGGTCCCCGTGTGCGTGTATTTGTGAATAAATAATTGGGCCGCCTCAATTACAGTGGGTCGCCGAGTGGATCGATATGCTGTTTGCCCGTGATATAGTGCCAGCGAATATGTTGTATTTGGGGAATGGAGAGCCACAGTGGAATTAATTATACTTTCAAATGGAATAACAATTCTGGCCATTTCGGAGAATTTCAATTATTGCGGTCTCGCTTGACTTTCAATCGCACCACAGCACGACATCAATTTGCTCACATTATTGCTCTTGAGTCTTTGCAGCGCCCCAGAAGGACCACGACATCAAGATAGATGCCCCACAACGCCAGATTGGAAATTGTGTCACATTTCCGGCCGTTGATGGGAATATTTTAATGATTTTTTTGCACTGCAAAATGTCCCGATGGCGCTCACCATAAAGTCCCCAGATGTATACACACTTGTCCACGTCCCTATACATTACGTATTTGTCCCGGAAACAAAAGGAGAATAGTAATCAATCATTAAGTATTGTTTGCATAGGAAAATATTATATTTTCACCTCAATATTCACATTGGTGGTAAAGTAATGAAATTTTTCCATCATACGCAATTCAATTAAGCGAGCTCAGTGAGCATTAAAAATATAAAAATGTACCTCCTGTGGCGGGTTTATTGATTGGAAAAAATGTGCATGGTTTTTGTTTAATCAGTTTTAATGAGGGCTTTAATTGAATCACAAACTGGCAGAATTTAATTGAATTGCCTTTCCGATTTTGCTGCAGTTCATCTCTGACTACAATGGTGATGACCACTACTTCACCAAAATCGGGTCAACGGGTTTGGGGAATCTGGAGCAAATCTATCGAACTCAGGCCGTGATGGATCACATTGATCTATGCCACCAGCATCATCACACGCTGTGCAAGGATTCGGCGGCGACGCTGCAAGATTACCTGAGACTGGCGTCGCAGAGCCCCCGTCAAATGGCGGCAGCGTGCACGTACCAGCCGGAAATTGAGGAGCTCGAGGAGGACTACGAGGTGGAGATTGGCAACTACAACCCCGTTCAGCCACTCTTTCACGACCATGGCATTTGCATGATTCCCATCTCGTCGCGTCACCACAAAATTGACCACCACATCCTTCAGGTTTGCACCTCTGGCGCCTTGTTATTGGGCGAGTCTTACTGAAATCCCTCTCCTCTCGAGCAGATCCTGCATCATGGCACGACATCTGTTCTGTGGGAGCCAGAGACGCCATCTGATAGGTCTTGTTATGTGTTTTTTCGCCTGGAGCGCTCATGTTCAATGGTGACGTGGCATAAACCGGCGTGGCGACGTCTCAGAACACAACAAGGTTTGCAATTTGCAATAAAAAAAAGCCCCACTTATGAATTTCAATTCAGTGCACCGGATCCACCCAATCTCCCCTGAGTAAATGCAAAATATGGAGTTTTTCTGAGCCATCCACTTTTCTCTTTTCTCATGCAGATTTCAACATGAATATAAATCCGGAAGAATTAGTTTCGCCACGACTGACACAGAAGCAAGTGCCGAGCGCCATGGATATCGAGGGCCAGAATCCGACGCTGGATGAGGGCTTTCTGGACTTGACGCTGGTCAAAGAAATCACAATGGGATCACGGAACCATGAATATGATTTGGAATTGTTGGCTGCTGGAAAGAGATTCGGCCTGACGCATGTCGAGTGCTGCGTCTCAATTCTTTACGGCAACACACTCAACGACAATAGGGTTTTGTGTCTCCTCTGCCCACCAATGCTGTGCCGGTAAGAATATATTTGACTTTCTCAGCAAATTGGGAGAAGTATGCCGGGGGTGTTTCACTGCAGAGGCACTCTTATTGGGTAGAGAGTAAGCATTTTCTGGCAGTGCAATATGTTTTTCTTTATTAAAAAGGACTTACGAGGAATGCTGAAAGATATAATCTTTCTCAAATATTAACAAGTGCTCCATATTTGAGTTGAAAATGCATCATATTTCACTACAAGTTGAAATAAACTTTGAATTATCTTGGTTGTTCTTGCACAAAGTTTTTTTTGTCGAAAAACATCTTCCCTCAATGCGGATTGAGATTATGTTTAAGTCCAAAAAGTATGAGGTTTTTCTTGTAGAAAACATCAAAACTGAATAACTTGGTCATTTCCTGAACTTTCCTCTAATTCCCTTAGACAAGTCTAAACCTTTTTCTCTTTCGATGTTTTCTCTGGGAAATCGCCAACTTCTGTGTATTTTTGTAAAACCACATAGATTTTCCCAAGAGTTTCACCATGTCTCGAAAGTTTCTTGAGATTTGACAGACTTGAGCTTCTTAACTTTATTAAAATCGCTGAGTGCAATTTATCATTTTTGTGTGGGATTTCACAACGTGATCTCAATGAGTGACGACGTGGTGAAGAGTGTGTGTTTGGAAAATCTTACACCCAAACTTCATACCACTAATGATTTCTCGCAATAAGAGCTCATCATCGCAGATGTGAGGCAAAGAAGTGAGACAAGACAATATTAATAACATGAGGGAATTTCACTCCATCACATTGCGATATCAGGCAATCTCATGAGATAATACGAGATAATTATTCTTCGTGATGCGCGAAGTAACGCACCATCGCTATATGCAAACTTGAGCAATCACTATTAATTAGTAGAAGTTGGAGCACATGTGACGGAGGTTCTTTTAGCTTCTATATGGTCTGTGCGATGAAATTGCTATTGATAAAACTTCTATGTCTGCCGAAACTCTGTGTGTGGTTTCTGTGGGCGAAACTGAATTGCCATAGTCTATCCATTTACCTTTTCATCATTGAATTAGTCGGGACAAGGGAGGAGAGGCTTTGGTGGCTCAAGTCCACCCTCAAATCCGTCGCAGAATGACCCAATTGGACAATGCATAGTTCATTAATCAGTGCCTCTGCTCTTTGCAGCTTGTGGTATGTGGGACTCAGTTGGATCATCCGCGGCATCAAGAGACAACAACGACTGGCCGATCGGTCCATGTTCTGGCTCAAGGAGCAGTACATTCAGTTGTACTTCGAGGACGGCTGCTGCGACGAACCGCTGGCCGCGGACGCCATCCGAGTGTTCGGCGGCCGCGATTGGGCGCTCTCGGGCAACACCACCATGACAAGCAGCCAGGCCGCCGAGGCGGCGGACGCCCTGCGACGCGAGGCGTCCATAAAGTTCAAGAAGAAGCGCTCCGTGGTGAATCTGCTGACCCAGGGCGGCGCCTCGAGCAGTGGGCCAGCATCCCTCGAGATGGATGCCACGCCGAAGGATGTGCGGACGAAGCCCATGGACCGGCGGAAGGAGCGCAACGAGTCAAGTGACCAATTGTGGCAGAATGTGAAGCACCTGCGGGCGGGTTCGATCACATACGAAACGCACCTCTCCTTCCTGGACTTTATCGCCCTGTTCCGCTCCTTCAGTCTTCTGGCGCGCAAGGACCTGCGAGATCTGTTCGATCAGCTCTCCGTGGCGCGACGCAGCAAGTCCACCCTCAATCCGGAGAAGAGTCGCAGCGCCCCCGAGTTGTGCAGTGGTGTGAGACAACGAAAAATCGGTAAACCATCACGCCTAGCTTGCCCGCCCTAACCCTCTAATGCTGCGTAGTGTAGTGAAATTTGCCATTTGATTTACAATTACAGCTCAAATGCATGTTCTAGGTCTTCTGACGCGCAATAGCTCGCTGGACCTGGAGTTTACCGAGGCCAAGAGTGCGCAGAAGAAGATTTTCGACGCAATCGCCGCATCCAGTATTCTGGCCAATTGTGCCGGCATCGATACGTCCAACACGCAGGTCATCACCGTGTCCACGCTGAGGAAGTACTTAGAGGCTCGCCAGATGGAAGTGAAGACCGAGGACGAGGTTATTGCAATCATTCAACGACACGAGCCTGATCCCACTCTCAGAGCGGAGAATTGTCTCAGCTTCGAGGGATTCGCCAGGTATATGATGGACAAGGACAATTACGCCTTTGTCAACGAGAGGGTGATTCAGAGTACGTCCAATATGGAGCGTCCGCTGTCCCACTACTACGTGGCGTCGTCTCACAACACATACCTCACCGGTCACCAGCTCAAGGGTGAAAGTTCCGTCGAGCTCTACAGCCAGGTGAGTCAGCGGAACGAAATTATTTAATTTTTCATAGAAGAAAAATGGGTCGCGATGGGCAATCAAATTGTGAATGTTGAAACGAAAGCTCTTTGTCACACAATTCCTCAGTAAATGTGCAAAAATTGAGAATGTGTGAATCTGACAGGTGGGCACGACATTAAAAATGCATCACATCACCATTAATTCTCAACAAGGCGCTGTAATTGCATAGGAGTCACTGATAATACACATAATTATAGTCACTATATTTGAATTTTTAATACATTCTTCTAATGATGCAATGTAATAACCTCTCTATGTGCTTTATAAATTGAAATACTTCCAATTAAACTTATTACTGTGGGAAATTACTTTGACTTTTCCTATTCATACCAAGAAAAATACAATAAACTTTCTTCCTTCAATATAATAAAATAATTACGAAACTTTCCGTTTTCCTCCTTTGGGAAAGAATTTTGCAATCTATTCTCTGAATGCGTTTTCAAGAATTTTGCCAGTTCTTTAAAGTTTCATGTATAAACACTAGCTTCGCTTATACAGCACACTTTCTTTGCCTTATTTCATCTGGAACGAATTATTGAGGGTGTGCAGAAGTAAAATTTGAGCTCTGGAGAATAGTGGCGCTATTGTTCTGGGCGCAGCCTTTGTGCCGCGAATTCGCGGCTCCAAATTATCCATGAGGTGGAATTGTGTGAAGTGCAAATGGGGAAACGTGACATATGAAGTAATTGCATAATGGATATAATGATTCATTGGGTTAGTGTGCATTGGGTATTAGATTGAAAATATGCATGTCGAGTATCAGTCAATTGAGAGGTTTGCAACATGTGTGATTGGCAGGTTCTCCTCACTGGTTGCCGCTGTGTCGAGCTGGACTGTTGGGATGGCGATGACGGCTCACCGGTCATCTACCATGGCCACACGTTCACCACAAAAATCCCCTTCAAATCCGTCGTGGAGGCAATCAATAAATCAGCCTTTGTGGCATCGCCCTACCCCGTGATTCTGTCCATCGAAAATCACTGCTCGGTTCAGCAGCAGGCGAGGATGGCGCACATATTTCAGGTGAGAATCCGCCCACAATCTGTGTGGGAGGTCTTGAGTATTCCACACACTGAGAATTTCCTTCGCATTCCAGAGTGTGTTTGGGGAGAAACTCGTGGCGAAATTTCTGTATGATGTGGACTACAGCGAGGATCCCGTCTTACCGTCACCGTCGCAGCTCAAGCATCGGATTCTGATAAAGAACAAGAAGTTGATTGTTGACATACCGTCAACCATCTCAAATCCGGCTTTGAGGTAATTACTTCGCTGGGATTTGATGTAATTTTATGATTTGTGAAAAGATCTTTCGCCAACAGGACGAACGCGGGCCTCAAGCATCAGGCTAGTCAGTCGGGCAGGACGAGTTCCATCATCAGCAACGTGAGTGGTGGTTCTGTCAACGAGGAGTTTAGTGATGATGAATATGAGGATGACGATGACTTTGATAACATCGATGGTAATTTCCTCTATGATAAATTACATATCTACTCTATCAGCACATTCTAACAAGATAATTACGGAAACACGCAAAGGAGAATTTCAAATTAACCGACATTTTACACACATATAGATAATCAATTACGAGACATTCAAAAAAGGACACATGGAAAAATTAGTCTATAAATATTCTTTCACTGCAATTTTATGAGCTTTTTTACAATCCATTTTATTCACGTCACGCTTCGTTTTGTTTCCAAACACCAAATTTATTTGTAAAATCGGTGCCTTCATTGAAATTCACGTACATTCGCAGTTACATATAAAACTTTTTGAAACAAATGCAGTATTTTCATTTAAAATTCCTATGAATTCCATGTTTTCATCACAAAGCCTCTCATGCATGCATAAAAAATTGAGAATATTTAATAGATGATCTTTAAAATGGCTTATTACTATTCCTTGTCATAGGAATTTCAAAAAATAACACAAAATGGATTGAGATGTATTTATTCAATTTAATATAGTGAAAGAGAAACACAAAATTTACGACACAATCAGAAATTTTCTCCGGGAAATTAATGCGACAATGCAGAGGAATGCCACATCTCGTGCAGCAGCATTAAATCACACAACTATAAATTATCGTACTGTCCTTTGCCAAGTTCCTGCTTTGCACTGCAAATTTCCTGACAATCTCGTGACATTTCGCTAATTTTCTCTCTGTCTCTCTTTCTCGGCCCATTCTTGGGAATTGCAGAGAAAACCCTCCATAGTATTTTCGGGTCGACCGATGAAAAATCCTCACGCTACAGCTTGTCGTCGTTCTCCAATGTGACACCAACACGTCGGATAGATATTGACGACAAGCAGCCGAAGAAGCGGAGCAGCCAGATAGCACGGGAGCTCTCCGATCTTGTGATATACGTGCAGGCGATCAAGTTCCGTGGCCTCAATCCCATCAGCCCGCACAACTCTGTTCGCCTGCAGCAGCCGCCGAGCACAGCCAGCTCCAGTGCCTCCCTCGTCACGGTGGGCAGCATCCTGAAGAGCGGCGGCGGCGGCGGCGGCGGTGGAGGAGGTGGCGGCGGAGGCAATTCAGGACCGCCTTCGAGTTCCGTGGACTCCACCTCGGCGGGCTCCGAGACCGAATCGCAGCACACGACATCGTCCAGCTACAGGAAGCTGATGCACGCCAATGTCAACCATCCGTGCTACCAGTGCTCATCCATCAACGAGGCCAGCACGAAGAAGCTGTGCCGAAAGCACCCGCTGGCCGTCATAGCGCACACCCAGACGCAGCTGATGCGGACATATCCGGCGGGCTTGCGAATCGACTCGTCCAACTTCAATCCCACCTTCTTCTGGGCCTTCGGCATCCAAATGGTGGCGCTCAATTATCAGACTGACGACCCACCGATGCACATCAACACCGCAATGTTCGAAGAGAACGGCAGTTGCGGCTTCGTGTGCAAACCAGACGTGCTCTGGGATCAGTCCCACCTCATGTACAGGCGCTTCAATCCACTGGACAAGGAGTTCGATGGCCTGCACTCCTCGCAAATTGTCATCAACGTGGTGTCCGGACAGTACGTCTGTCAGGGAAATCTACTGTGCAGCACCTACGTCGAAGTGGAGATGATCGGCATTCCGGTGGATTGCAGTAAGAAGAAGACAAAGACTATCAAGAAGAACGCTCTGAATCCCATTTGGAATGACACCTTCTTCTACAAAGTCATGTTCCATGACCTTGCCTTCTTGCGCTTCAGTGTCTTCGACTCAGATTCCAATCACTTGGTGTCGCAGCGAGTCATTCCGCTCAAGTGCCTGAGGCCGGGCTATCGGCATGTCCGACTGCGTTCGCCGACCAACCAGCCGCTCAGCATGGCGAGCCTGTTCGTGTACTCGCGTGTTGAGGAGGAATCGCTAGAGCGCACTTCTGACGAGGCGGCGGAGTTCATGAGCGGCTGCCACGACGACAGCGCCCTGAGTTGCGTGCACGAAGGTGGCGGGCGTGTGGAGTCATCACCATTTGTCGGTGCCAATATACCCCTGAAGCGGCGCATGTTCTTCCTGATGGTGTATGGCGTGGTGACGGACGAGCCGTACACGATACTGAAAATCACGCAAGAGAGCACCACGCAGGAGGTGATCATGCAAGCACTCCAGAAAGCGAGCAAGTCGCCACTCAACGTGAATGACTACATCCTTGTGGAGGAGGTGCGGCGGGGGTGGGAGAAGAAGGACCGTGACTTACCTTCGACGCAGCGCGTGTTAGACATGTTCGAGAAGCCGCTACAGGCGCAAGGTCTCTGGAAAGGTGAAGGTCGCTTCATCCTGAAGCGCATTGGGGACGATCCCAGCAGCAGAGCTTGGCTCACCTCCATTCGCAGCGTGAGTGAGAGGCGTTCGATATGCGAGAGTGGAGATGGTCCTTCATCGTGGGACGATGCTGACAACTTCCTCGTGTGCATTTACAACGTGTCTCCGGACATCCCCTATGCCATACTGAAGGTGCCGATAGGGTCCACAGCGCAGGATGTTCTGGCGCAGGCTCTCATCAAGGCGAGACGCCTGGAAAACCCCAACAATTTCGTTTTGGTGGAGGAGCTCGAGTACGGCGGCGGAGGAAGCTCAACGGCAACCAATACACAACAGCGCTCGCTGCACGATGATGAAAATGTCTACTTGACGCAGGCCAACTGGAAGACCATCGGACGGTTCATTCTGCAGGAGAAGAGTGTGGCCACACCGTCGATGCGACGACATCGCTTGGCCATCGACAAGATCAGCAGAGGTTTCAGCATCAGCAGAGCCGCAGTTCTCAGTAGTAACAAATCTCCCATCCAAGTAGCGTTGAGCGATCCGACAACATCGAGATCGCGCTCCAAAGTCGAGGAACCGGGCCACTCTCAGATGGGTCGAGGCATTTTCAGGGCTAAGGGCAACTCTGAGAAGGAGACGCCCACGTGCAGTCCTCGGCCCAGGCAGAGGGAGGTTCACTCGGAGGGGGAGACGCTCAGTGATGACGATATCAAGGAAACGGACTTGATGTCGACGGTGTCTCGTCTAAAGAAGATGTCCATAAGAAAGCTGAAAGCCTGGAAAACCTGAGTGTTGCACTATGCATCCTCGTAGAGCGGGGATTCAGTTTCAAGCAGGGGATCTAGGCAAGTCGCTTTCGCCAATATGGATACGCTTTCTCTCTTTAGACGCTAGACGCCGCGATATTTTCAAGTTCGATTTCAATAGTCAATTGCTAAATTGTAGACAAGCATGCTAAAAATCGACTATTGTTAAACCATCTTCGCGAAAAGATTTGTAAATTCTCACTTCTTGTACAAAAGAGTGATGAAACACACGACATTAAGAACACTTTGTAAGTTTATGCTGAGCAAAAACAAAGTTGAAAATCACATTATCACACTTATAAAGTAATGTTACTTTGAATTATGGAATTGACGAATTTACCACAATAAATAAAAAAAAATCACAACATAAGAAAGATTTTTTGAAGGGAATTAAAACAGATATAAATTAAAATATAATATCAAAATTGTGTTTATGCAGAGAGTCAATGCGCTGAACACAGAAAAGTGAAATCTCTGAAAGAAGTAACTATAAATATTCACACACAAGAAAAACTATTTATAATAAATAAATAAAAAATTTCTAATAATTAATAAATTGCAAAAATAGTAAAATATCTCTTACTAAGAAGAACACTATTTGACGCCTACAACTTCCACTTTAAAGAAGTATCTCATCGCAATTCAAATAGCTTTAACTAATCATATCGTTACAAATTAAAAGAGAAAAAAAATTATGAAATGATGCTGTAGTACATGAAATGCATCTGTGGAATGACATATTTTCTATTTTTCATTTTTTGGAGCATTGAAAAGATAAAAAAAATACCTACTACGTCTGGTAGTTGCCACTTGGTAGCATCTGTGTAAATTTAACAGTTTATTAGAGATGCAGATCCTCTTCACATGATCGATGAAAATGTAAACATATTAAATAAATTGGACCAACATGAATTATTGTGTAAAAAGAGGTGAAATCTATTTAGAATGATGGACATTTTGCCATTAACCATGTTATGTACTTATAAAAGAGAAAGATGCAAAGTAAAATAACTATCGTATGAGTATTAAATATGAATGTAAAATTGAAAACCATTACTTAAAAAGAAAAGATATAAATGCATTAATATCACACGAAGCATGAGATGCTCTAACGTTACAAAATAGAGTAAAGACAAGGTATAAGAAAAGAACTTCAATCAAATCACATCACTATCAGACTTATCAAGAGAATCAAGCTTCTATTGTAAACCAGAAATAGGCGTATCTCCTTCAACAAACATAATCTTAGGGAAATTTATATACCTATCTTAAGTCTCAATCACGGTACTTCAATTAACTCATGCGAAATATGTTGTGTTATCTCTAGATAGTTGTTGATTTAGAATGTGTATCAGAGGTCTGTCTTTACTTCTCAATATTTTTGCTAAATTTCTAGTCGATCAAACTCCAACATGAATGCATGCATTACCCGCATGAAGGATTAACGAGAGATCTTTGTTGAGTTTTGAAAATTTTATAAACATGAAACTATATGTTAAAGTTCTTTTTATTACTATCGACGAAAATGTTTTTAGAGTTTTATCTCATTCCTCACAGACACTTGTAGATATTTAAAAATAAAAAGAAAAATGCTGTAAACTTCTCATTCGAATAAACAAGTACTTCTTATCGAGTTTTTTCCTTCATCTTCGTCCAAATGTAATGAAGCTACTTGGAAAATTCCATGAACCACAATAAAATCAATCATAATAAAAGGAAAGAAAAAAACTATCAAAAGTAATTTAATAAAATATCTTAGATATTGGATTTCTATTTGATAAACAAATAAAGAGAAAATAGTAAATTCAGAGATTCATTCCAGTTTAGTGAATATAATAAGATAAAGATTTTAAAAATGTAAATCCTCTTAAAATAAATAGATACAAAAAAAGGTGGAAAATTTAAACGCTGTGTTAATAGTGTGGTAAAATGAAGTATCACTTCATAAAGAGATTACCAAAAGATAAGAGAGATGCTATGCTACATGTTAAAACAAATCTAATAGTCGAAGTGAGAAAATAAGAGACATTTTTGGAAAGAACGTAAATAGCAAGATGTACTATAAATTAATTATTGCAAAGGAGATGTATTTAGGTATTATGTATTATGTAATTAACAGAATGTTTTTCTAATATCACTGTGTCAAGATGAAATTTTTCTTAAAATGATATCTTAACTAATATTAAAAGGTTTATATATTTTGTTAGAATTGTCTTTAATATTAATATTGTGTAAGAATTGAAGATGGTGAGATTAATGTTATACACCTAACTACATATTATGTATAAATTTCTATTAAATTAATTTTTTAATTTAATGAAAGAATAAATATGAAAAGAGAAATAAATGTTATTATAATATATATATATATATATATCCTTAAGGCGATTCCTGAATTAACCGATGCCCAATATTTGAAATATTTGAATAGTGTTATTAAAGAATTTTTTGTAAAATAGAGAAAAAAAATGTTTATCGGGGCGTTGTAATGGATCAAGAGAATAAAAATAGAGTGTTTATGTTGACGGTAGAGAAAGAAACTTGATGAAATCAACTGATCGCCTTAAAAATTTAATTGTTGTGATTTTGTGAGTCAAATGTGTGTGTGGAAATGTAGAAAATGATTGCTCTTCTGTGTCGTTGAGATTTTTCTATTTTCATTCTCTGGAAAAACTGTCTCTATTGTCTTCCTTCCATGAAATCTATACAAATGCACAGACCGTGACATAAGAAAAAAAAATTAGACAGAGAAACTCACACATCAGCAAGACACAAATCCTACCTCAAAGTGCATATCCTTGAATCCCAATTAATAGCATCTTGACACAATGGAACGACGGAAAGGAACGAAAATAATGTGAAAATGTTGTGTTAAATTGTCGTTATTTTCTACTTTTCCTCTACCGTTTTTGACTCTTTTCATTTCGAAACTAACCTAGATATTTACAATACAATCCCTGTGAAATCTATATGTAAACAGTGGTGGAAATTCTCGAAGCTGCACTTCGCAGAGCGTATACTTGTGAATACTCTGTGAATGCCACTTTTCTTGTAAACTTCAGATTAGATTATATTTTTTATTGAAATACAATCTTAAAGATACCCAGTGAGACGGTTAATCTTATAATAATGTGCAACACATGGGGAGTCATTTCAAAGGAAAATAAAGATTTTCATGACATTTTTGCAAAGAAAAAAAAAACAATACATTTATTTAGTAGCTGTGTTAATCATCCTGAAAGATTACACAACCACATTAAGAGATATGCATCCAAAATGTACCATAAAGAAAATTGTTCGAATAATAATGAAATGTATCATCTTTTGACTAGTTATTAAATGAAAAGTGAACAAAGAAAATGAAAAATATGAAATATTTTACAGTAAAATAATAAAACTGATACAATGCAATTTGTGTATTTTACTTTTCCTTTCTCCGAATCGATAATTTTCAGCAGGGATTCTAAAGCAGTGTCTTCACTTGATCACTGCTGAATGGCTAGATAAATGGGTGAAATAAAATCCTCCTATCAAGATTGCTGCTATAAATGCCACTCAAGCTTCAAAACATATGAAACGCTAATAAATATTAGATCAATAGGGGCTACAAAAATAGACAGAGCCAATCAGAGTAATCCATAATTCTTTCCTATGTCAAACTAGAAATAGACTCCATTTGGGTGCAGTGTCGCTTTCAATTAAATACCAATCATTTGCAAGGTACTAATAAGCAAATAATTAAATCTGCAGCGGATTTATGTGAATCCATGGTATGGATTCGCATGGAACGTGAGTGGGCAGCAGAAAAGTTGGTGGCATAACTTTTGAAGCATAATCAATTACCCAATTATTTTTATGATAACCGCCTGTTCTCTGGGTATTCCGATGATCTACGTAAACAGAAAAGTTAATCCAGATATGCGCGTGATTGTATCATAAATGCCGCGACCCACCCTTTTCCGTCCTCCAGTGTCCACAATCTCTCTCGTGGCTTTTTTTTCGGCAGAAGGTCCTCATTGCACAGCACAAATACAGAGTTTTGCTCATATGTCCTATACCGATCCGAAGGAAGCCGAGTGAGATAATGAAATAATTCCATTGGAGAGAAAGTTTCATGGACCCCATTTCGAGCCTCGCCCTCACATTGAATAAAACATATTGCATCTCGACTCTGAACGATATGTGAGAGTATTGCAAATGAGTCTCAACACCACGGATTAATTGTCATATTCATAATTTTGCATTTGAAGATGTGGGATTTTCTCGCTGTGGCGTCAAGATGATACCCGCCTACTGGAGGAGAAATTTATTCAAATGTCTTTGCTCGATTATTTCTGCGTTCATCTTCTCCAGCTTTGATCATTTATACTACGGGGAGATTTGCATTTTTATTGGCCACGACTACCGCAACAGATTGCTGCCGAGGATGTGCATCCTCAATGAGATGGAAGCCCTGAATCGGGTAAAATGGTCTCTGGCAGACGCGTTGGCTTCCCGCGAATGTGGTGTGGGTCATCTTATCTCCGCCACCAATTACAACCACTGCGTATCGATGAGATAACATCCCACATCTCACACGCACGCAACTTGCCGCAAAACTTTTGATGTTGTTGCCTGTAAGCTCAGCATTGTGTGAGATGGAGAGGATGGGACGGTGAGCCAGGAGTATATATCTGGCGCGATTCTTCCGCCACACATTCAGTCTGACTTCGAGAGGTGATCCAAGAAGCACAAATCATCCCAGGAAGCAGGGATTCTGGGTATTCGCTCTCAGTGTGATTTCCGACCCTTTCACAGAGGAGAGAAGTCCTCTGGTTCAGATTTTGTGGAAATACGCAATCATGAAGTTGTTCATGCACTCAACTGTTTACGTTACAATGATTCTGATATGTAAGTTGTTCCATTGACGTGATTGTGTCGTCTAGACCGAATACATTCTGCATAAATTTCCTGGAAAATCTCATGGTGGTATAATTGATTAGGTTGCGTTATATGGGTCGCTTGCTCCTTCCCCGTTGCAATGTCCTGCGACTCATGCGGAAGAGAGTGTGCCAACGCTTGCGGAACCAGGCACTTCAGGTAGGCAAAACCATCAAGTGTAGCAATAAACCTTAAAAGATCAGTGAATATTTATAATGAAAAACTGTGAAGTGAAAAAGTCAATTCGATGAACTCGACAAAAAAGATAAAAGTGCTAATTAATCAAAGAACAAATTTGATTCGTGACGATAAAAATTGCGAAATACCCAATTGCAATATGTTTATCGCTTCAATCATTTCTAATAGTTCATCCGCAAGATGCACAATATTAATTTCACGCGAAATTTTATTGAGAGAAAATCACAAGAGATTCTTCAATTTAATAATTGTTACAATTAGAGAATTTATGTGATATTTATTCATGTCCTAAAGCAAAAGTTATCGAGTTTTTGCCCTGATATGAAAAGTAACTATTTACTTTAACAAAGACATTTCTGTGTTCATTGCCAATATAAAGAAACAGTCTTGGAAACAGTGCTCACATCATTAGAAAAGTTATTGATTACATTTGTTCCTTTCACTTGCAGAACGTGCTGTTTTAACTATCTGAAGCGCAAAAGGAGCTCTCTTCCGCCCCTTAAAATCCCCGAAGACTCCTTGTCAGACATTAGGTATCTCTTGTGGCCAAGAATGGATGATGGTGCCCATGATGATCTTGGAGATACCTTTGTGTCCGATTTGCCACCAGGATTCGTCGGACGTCTGCGGGATGGCCCAGCAATCTTCAGACGTCGCGATGGTCACAACGAGGACAATCTTCCGATGCATAAGAGCAAAATTCTCGAGGACACGGACAGTGGACAGCAGGCCCGTCTCTATGAGGCCTAAAGTGCAGCCAGTGGAAGGAATGTAAATAATGTTCTGCGCGATATTCCCAGACTTCAGGCATGAGAATAAATATTGACACTGTGGCTGGCACTGTTGATATTCATTTTCAAGTATTTTGGGTCCACCGACGCAGAATTCTGGGCAGAGGACGAATAAGGACGGAGTTGAAATGTACACGATATGCCTGGAATATTATTTAATGGGTTTATTTAATGATTTCTTGAACGATACACTTAAAATATGATCTTTCTCTTGTTGGACACTTCTGCAACTTTGCAAACACTCAATTGAATACCTTTTTCCAACATACATTACATCTTTATTATAGGGATTGTATTTTAATTTGGTTTTTTTTTGTAAGGTACAAAGGATTAATTATTTTAAAATATGTTACTTTATTTGTTTGGCTAAAGCTGGAAGAGATAAAGGTTCGATTATGACATTTTCACAGTACATAATTAATTTTGTATTCACTATAATTTTATAATTGATAAACATCCATATTGAGATTGAAAATGGAAAGGGATAAAGGTATTTTCCACCCACTGGAATTTACTCTTGATAATCAATTTAACATAAATCAATGTTAATGTATAATGTGTGTGTGTGTGTGGCATCTTGCGGAAATAAAGTTTGACACTGAACTTTAAATATTACAGTTTAGAAGCCTTACTGGGCACTGAAAGCCACAGGGAATTGGTTGTTGGACATTGAGCGTCCACTCTTGTGCAGATGAATCTCTCGGCTGGCTTCCTGAATGGCTTCCCAGAGTTTGGCTTCGGACATGATTTGCCTCATGAGATCCTCCACGGCTGGTTCGGAGTTCAGATCGAGAAGAGTGGCGAGATTGTCGTCGAAGTAGCTGTTGTCCGGCTGGTCGTCGTCATTGAGGTTGTCCAAGTGTCGCGAAGATATGGGCGAGAGCAGAGGGCCAGTGGAACCGGAGCGTTTCTTTCCGCATCCTGCAATCCGAAAGAAATTCGCATTGGCGCCAAGAACTCACATGTAAAACCACACAAAGCAATTAACCTGTGAATGCATTGCAGAAGGGTCGCTTTTTCACCTCCAATTTGTTGTCTGGTGAATTTTGAGCGTGATAAGATCGTGGATCCTGCTGGAAAGAGGTGAAAACCATAAATTCCATTAATTGCCTTCACTTCAAAAGCACCCACATCTACTCACCCTTTGACTTATAACGCCCCCGTGGACTATGTAAATGGTGGCAAAGAAGATTGATAAAACGCAGAAAATCGTTGCAGACGACATACTCATCAGTTTCTTGACGGCAAAGAAGGGGAACAAGCTGAGGAGTAAAGAAAAGAGAGAATTGAACAGGAAGAGTTAAATTGAAAATAATAATTTTCTCTTTGCGCCACAGGAAGGATGCTGAATTAATTATGTTCTCTAGACAATTATGAGGTGCAAATTGTGTTCAATTTATCAAGAAATCGTGACGAATCGAACTTTTGTCCCAAATAATTTATTTATCGCTAATGAATGACTCGAAACAATCTCATTCACTAATTTGATAATTGAATTCTTACACGAATTACCTTTGCCACAATTCATCGATTTTCAAGTGAATTTCAATGATTGCAATCAATGAGAACACTTCTCAGAATATCTGTGTAATTATAAGATGGAAATTGCAATGTTGCATAATCACACTCGCGCCTCGCAAAGTGCAGATATTTATAAAATATGTGTATGCATTTATACGAAGAAATTATTACATTTATTGGCATTATTTAGGGCTTCATTTTCACACTGCCATTCCGAATAAATTGCATACTAATTTATTCTTCATTATTTCTTTACTCAACAAAATCATTTCATTTTCTACAGAGAAATTGATCTAAAAGAAAATTAAAGGATTTTGAACATAGGCAATCTCTTCTTTCATAAATAATAAGCCTGCAAAACTAATTGAGTTGCGCACAATTTGCTGGCCCACGCGAAAATGTCTTTGGGAAATTATCGTCACAAGAAACGGTCCCGCGGTAATGCAAATATTTGCGATAAGTTGACATTATTTGAAAAGGAAAAGTGGGTAGAAAATACCTGATATATATCGAATTGCCAACTTTCATATGAGGATGTTAAGATGTTGATTCAGGAAAACGAAGAGTTTGTCATGAAATGTTTATGCATCAGATGAAAAGCAAATTGAGCGTCTGATTGAGAGGAAAATAGATTCCTTCAGACACTGAGGGCGTGTATCAAAGGCAAGAATAACTCCCTTGTGAGCGTGTTTAGCCCAAAGATGGATTCATGTCGTGTGATTTGCATCCTCGAGTGTGGCAATCGGCATGGGTTAAAGTTTGGCCAGCAGAAAGGAATTCATGAGGCAAATCAACGTGATAAATCTCTCCGAGTGGCAATTATTATCAGGCTTAATTATATGGAGGAGGGCTTAACAGCGATAAACACTTATCCTGGCGCAGCGGGACACCTCGCTCACACAGTACATTCATATTAAGGGGTTCACACACCCTCAAAAGCCCGCCACGCACTTTGCCACGCAGCTTTCCTCCGTGGCGCGAGAATGTGCGGAAAAAGGCTGCATTTAGGGGATGAACAACTTGAGCTTGTGCCCCACATTCTTCCGCCTTTCCGCCTTGGCTCACACTGTCTTCCTGGATGTCGTGGAAAATTGCCCGAATCCCTCTTTTATGTTACTATCACGTCAAGTAATATGTTTATCCTCACAGTGAGATATTCACCCTCGTTTTTCCCCATACACATGAAAGAATTGAATTTACACAAGGCTCAAGGCATATTCACGTGTCGCGCAACGAGACTTTTTTCGCACTTGTGCAAAGTGCCTTTTTACCACTTCTCGAAGGGAATAATTGTGGTGTCGCAGCATCTATCGAAACGTGCCTTCATCTATTGTGACAACAAACAAAGGTTCAAATTGCAAAATCCAATTTGCTCTCACTCATCTTCGCGGCAAAAGTCTGAGAATTTACACCCCCTCGCCAAGGTCTCGATAGTTCTGGCTTTGGGGGCGGAATTGAAAGCTGCATCGAATGGATTTCGGTGCATGTTATTAGTAATTCAATTATTGTTGCAAAAGCGATGACATGATTTTTACATAAAAATGTTGATACCATTAAATTTAACACCATCAACTAATATCATAATGAGGAGTGACGGAAAAAATTGTGTTTCTGTGACATTTTCGTGCCATTTTCAGTGTCACTATTAAAGTCTGAAAATTCTTGAATCTTTTATGGAAAATGTGTTGAAACACATAAACAAAAGCACAGATTTTCCCTTTTCTTAAAAATTCCACTGTCAAAAGCACTCAAGATTTCTTTTAAAATAAATACACAATTTTACTTACAGATTACTTTAAGTAAATTCTCAACTTGTCGTTGATAAAATCCACTCAACACTTTCAGCCTTGTCCTCTGAAAAAATCACTGAATAATCCCGAAAAATCGCTGTTATTTGAAAGAGAGAAGTGCAGAAGTCAAAGGGAAGGTTTCTGTCTGGTAATGTCTGAAGACTCTGTGGACCAGCTCCTTTGGGTATTGGTACAGCAACAAGCACTGAGCACAACTAAATCAGTCGCTCTCCCGAGGTGCCTTTTATAGGATTGACTGAAGCACTTCCTGCTGTGTGTTCACCACTAATGTGGAGTTGAGCGGAAAGTGAAAATTGTGGAAAAATGTCAGTACTCACTCTCGCTTCGGTGTCGGGGAATTTTGCGCCACTTCCACAGAAGGGGGTGGAGAATATGGGGAATTTGTGCCTTTGACTCCTTCCCACACAAAGTGATAATTGTCTGATAATTGTACTTAAACTCAATTGTCTCCATTTGTAGAAATCTCCTTCTCCTCTCACCTGATCTATTTTTTTACAATCGTCGATGCGCACGGAGGGATTTGGAGTGGATTTGTGTGAGAAGAGGGATTTTGCAAGGATTTGTGGAATAAAAGTTGTTGAAAATCCGTTTGGAATTGAATGAGTTTATTGCTCGCATGCAAGTATCTTTCGCGACACACTTCACGCCGTAGAACAGAGGGGATGAATGGCGCGAGCTGTAATTCATCGCGAAAGAGTAGAAAAATACTATTTAATTAATTGTTGCACCATCTTTCTAATGTTTTATATTTATTTACATCCAATATCTGATTGTATTGCCATAAACAGAGAATTGACTGTGTGAAATTCAATGCAAAGAAAACAATTTGATGAAATTGATGCTCATGTTTCGAATGTTTCATGAAACAGAGTGTTTCAGCGCGGAATGTCATGAAACTTCAGTGTATATTTTAGCACAGTCAGTGGGGAAATATGACAGTGATTTTTGGTCGTCCGTAGGATTTTTACGCAATGTAATTTTTAGTGAAAAAAGAGCCAATTTTCAGCATTTCCACTTGACCTAAAAAGTCGCAACACCTCCAATAACGTTACCACTCGCGCCTAGTGTAGATTTAGTGTGAATCTAGTGTGATTTTCGCGGATAAAGTGAGTGTTTTCGCAGTTTTTCTCCGTCACCTCCGTGGAGCCCCAATCACTGGATGACTTCACCCGAATTATCTGGCAGCTAAAATTGCCTGCAATTTTCACATCCTGTCCTCTGTGCGCGCCCCGATCTTTTCGCCTGAGGTGGGCCGTCTCGTTGCGTCCTCAGAAGTCACAGCAGGAGAGTCCCGGGGGCGCAGCGCAGCACTGGCCAGCAGGGCGTCCGGGAGCTGAGGAGGTGGAGGAGAAGATGATAAAGTGTCCTTGTCAGTGGAGTGAGAGTGTGTGAAAACTACCAAGCTGGCGGCCAACGTTCAGGGAATGATGAAGAAGCAGTTCAACAGGATCAAATTAACCCATTTCTCAAGGTAAAGAGCGCATCTGGGAGACCCTTTTCACGGTCCCCGTGGGCGTGTCACGACCACATCTCGCGTCCCATCGCCGTGATGTGACTCTATGAATATCTCTCGCCTGATGACTAATGCGCGAGACTCGCTCGGCAAATCACTGGGCGACTCTCTCAATGTAAACATCAATCGCGGATTCGCGACAAGAAAAAAGATCCATCAACACGCTTCAGATGCAGCTTCCCGCTGAGCCAGGGCGCCTCGGGTCATGGTTCAGGGCGTTCAGCAGTCCAGAATTGGCGAAAATTCCCAGCATTCCTGGGCGAATTGCTCACTGAGGAAATCAAAATTCTCAATTTTGTTTTTTAATTTCCTGAACCATGGAAGTGCTGACTTTAGGCTTTGAAGTCTTGCATGAAATGTTGAGTGAAACTTTTCCCACTCTTCTCGCCCATCAATCTTATCGCAATCTCTGGGGAATTTCTTTCTGTTGAGCCTCAATTCTCTGGCTTCATATTTATTTCCGGGCAGACTGGAGATAAAGTAAGGAAAGCACAACAGCTTATTGATAAGACAATTGTCCCATGAGAGTGCAAGATAATGCCCGCGGTATTGAATATTGAGGAATGCAGTGTAATAATAGATATTATAGTACATTATGTGAATAGCATAAGGTGCATTTGAGCTACAGATATTGCCACTAACTCAAAAATATTATGCCTTAATCATTTTCTTGGGAAAACAGAGGCAATTTCAGTGGGTGTTGTGAGATTTATTCAGGATCACGGAAGGCACTTTTGCCCCCCGTCAAGTAAATTAAATTTCAAATAATACCTGACAGAGGCGACAAAGTGTCTTATAAGCTCTTCAATGCAATGAGAAATCTCTTCAACCTTCATCCAGTCCATCTAAATTAGTTCTGATCCAAATGTGGCATGCATTTGATTGAGAAATAGCGCTTTGAGATGTCCTCAAGAGTCACACCTCCAGGCTTAGGCAGCACCGCGTCCAATTGATTAGATGGAATATTTCTTCATAAGTTTCGCTGCGTGAAGTTTCGTGAAAGAAAGGCCCCTGAGTGGCTTGGGTGTGTGGAGAGGTGGTGAAAGAAGTTGTTTATATTTTGTTCCGCTACTGCGATCACGACCATCGTGGATGGCCATTGTCTTACGTAAAACGCACCAGAGAGAAAAAAGAGGCAATAAAAGCGAGAGGGAATTGATTGAGTGAGATAATCTGTGATTTATCGATTTTCCCTCGAGATGCACTCAATGCACAAATGTATGACCGGAGATGATGTGCATTGCAGATGGAATAAATCCGACAAGAGCACCGATGACCTTGCCAAAGCGGAGAAGAATGTGGAGCAATTTAAGGATGTGCTCGAGAAGATCAGCAAGAATCTTGTGCAGGATTCGGACAAGGAGAAGCGCCTCAAGAAGATTCACGAGCACCGATTGGGGCTGGCGATGGAGGAGTCCGTGAAGAATCTGCCTGACGATGGATTGCTGAAGAAGGTCCTGGAGAATTGTGGTGAGTGTGCTAAACTTTCGGCCACAAACACCGATTTTGCTAAAGTGTGGTCATTGTGTGTTTGCCTTCCTTGTCTATTTATAGCCAATTTGGAGAAGAACATCGCCCAAGATATTGTGTCGCATGAGACGAACATCGATGGGGAGGTGACGAAGCGTCTCAATGAAATCCTTGAGACGAATCTCACCTCAATCCAGAAGCACAAGCGGAATGTGACGAAGTTGACGCAGGAAAATGAGTCGGGAAAGAATAAGCTGCGCATGAATGATAACAGCACCAAGGCGAGTCAACTGTCTGAGGATGTGGCGGAGTGTGAGGCGAAATTGGACAAGGAGCGCGACATCTGGGCAGCAGAGATGTTCGAATTGATCGCCGAGGAGGAGAATATTGCCAGCTGTATCATCAACTACGTCAAATATCAGCAATTGTACTATAAATCTGCCCTCAGCAAGATTGAGAGAGCCTTGGATGATTTTAATGGATTCATAAGTAAGTCACTCGGTTGACCATCATTTCGTCATCTGTGCTGAAACAAAAAAAAACTGTCGCTGAGCGCGCGAAGCCGAAAATGCTTCTAATTAACACAATTCTCTCTTCACCTGTTCTTTCTGCAGAAGACAACAAAAACAAACGGATCTTCAGGGTACCGCTAGAGGAGCACTTGGCGGCGACAAATCGAAAAATCTCCTACGTTATCGAGCTGTGCGTGTGTGCACTGCTCGAGAAGGGGCTCTACGAGGAGGGGCTGCTTCGAGTGGGATGTAGTGAGTATAAAATCAATTTTCAGATCATTCACTCTCCCTCTCTCTGTCGCTCTAAATCATGCCAGAGAGCGATAGGAGAGAATTGACCATGTTTTATTGCTTTTTCGGCGAAAATACCATGTGATGTCATTGGGAAAATTTCTTTTCCAACCAAGTGCACAAGTCTATTTTTCGCTGACCTCAATGGACTCAATTTGATCTCGATTTGCCGGAATCTAAACAAACATTGTGCCTAAATAAATCCAACATGCCGAAACATCGCATCAAACAATCTGCAAAACATTTGCACAAAATCTTGTGGGAATGCCTTTGTGGTTCGCATGGCTAATGGAAGAAGCAAAATGATTCAATGTTGAAGCGTCCTCGTCAAAAATTTTGTGCCAAAATCATGTGGGCAAACATTGCAAAATTGTACATTTCCCAGCGATTCACGTGGGAAATTCGAAGAAGTGCACTCACCGACTCATTTCAATCGTCACAAGACAGAGTTTTGAAAGTTGTTCGGCGCTCTGTTGTGTAAAATGGAATGACTCTCGGGGCAGAGGATTAAAAAGAGAGAAAGATGCAAAAAAAATGTACAAAACCCACTCAAAAGAGTTGCAAAGATACGAGATTTATTCCAATGAATCACTCTGACACTAAATAATAGTGCATAAAACTGCTGACTGGTTTCAAAGAGGGATTAATTGCAGAATTATTGATTATTTATTTATTCAGTAGATTAGCATAAACACTAGATTGACTATGTTGATCTTTTCTGACTTACTGCTGTGTGTCAAAGTCATCCCATTTCAGTAGAACATATGATTTTCTAGAAGACGAATATAATCTTAAACTCTCTTTTACGTGATAGTTTATTTAAATTCAGAGAAATATAGTTACTCAGTGTTTCATTATCAGGCGTATTTTTCCAGAAGAAGTCCGAGAATCGTTATCATAGAGCACGATGCATAAGAATTCGACCAATGAACGATCTCGAAAGGAATTACAATTCGCATTTGCTGATAAAGCGATGGATTAGTCACATATAAATGAGATTAACTGAGAGCCAAAACGCTAATTTATCACAACTGTGGCAAACGGCAGGCGAAGAGAGAGAAGTGGGAAATATGTATTTTAATATTTTGCCTTGCATCTCCCATTCTATTTTAAGAGAGTGTCTGGATTGTTTGTGAATCACAATAATCACAATAATGAGATTGAGAGAGCGAGCGCAACATGTGAAATGCTCGAGTGTGAAAATGAGTGTTTCACATATCATTTGGAATATTGTATATACACACAGAAATTTTCTCAGTTTTTTCGCTTGCCTCCAAATTAATTTATTTATCTCCCCTTCTCAAAGCCGCAGAGAAGACAATTAAGCTTCTCCAATGTCTCGACACTTGTGAAAAATGTGTGTTGAAGAGAGCGCGCGTCATGATTTTTCCTTCAGACGGCCTTTTTTTTCATGATGTAACGCTGTTGACCACTCAATGAAATTGAAAATGCCACTCAAGTGTGTGTGTGCCTCATTTCGCGCTTTTTGTAGGAAATTATGTGTGCAGCTTTATCAAAACAGATAAATTGACTTCAGCTCTTTCTGACTTCTTCGTATCTCCACTTATTATTTACCTTCCGCAAGATTGAAAGTGAGAAAGTCTCATTCATGGTTGTATATTTCTTCTCACTCTCTTCGTCAGGCAACACCAAATTGAAGCGAATGCGATCGGCCTTTGACGCTCATGTCATTGGACCGCATCTGCCGCGTGAGTATCAAGATGTCCATGTGATTGCCGGCGTGCTGAAGTCATACCTGCGCGATCTGCCGGATCCGCTGCTCACATTTCGTCTCTACGATGACTTCGTGGCGGCGGCGCAGCGTCCGACGGAGTTGCAGCGGAAGAAGGCAATTCTCAATGCGATCAATCAATTGCCCGATGGTCACCGCAACAATTTGCTCTATCTCACCAAATTTCTGTCGTGTCTGGCGCAGAAGAATGCCCAGAATAAGATGTCATCGCAGAATATTGCCATCGTGATGTCGCCGAATCTGCTGTGGGCCAGAGAGACGGACGAGACGGATTATGCCCAGAAGGTGAATAGCACAGCGGCTGTGAATACAATTGTGGAGTTGCTGGTGTCCGATTGGGGTTTCTTCTTCAACGACGAGTGCGATTTCTACGATTCAATGTCCAAGGATGACCTATTCCCGGAGAATAGCGGCACAGCCGGTGACCGAGAGGCGCCCGCGACTGTCTTGAACTCAGGTGAGTGCGGAAGAAGTATAATTGCTTTCGTATCACTTCAGGGATCTCTCAATTGAGTGGAACTTGTATTGATTTTTTCTCCTCAACACTCACACAATTCAGTAAGGCACTTTCCCATTTCCCATGCGATTTGTGCTTGTTTTCGTTATGCTTTGTGAGTTGTGCTCTTCTAGCAGAATTTTTCACATTGTGTGTTTTGTTCAATAAACTCACCATGTTGAAATAATATTAGTAATTAGAATGTCAACACGAACATCTCTTTCTCTGGGTAATTTGCAAATTCAATCGTCGTCCTAATTCAGATGTAATCAATTGACCTGGCTTTCCAAATTACTGCACCGTTCGTAACGGCCGGCAAACGGTTACGAAGTCGCATTGCAACCGTAAAATGCTAATATTTCCCATATGTGCCAAAAAGTGTGTTTTACGCAATGACCACTCAATGAAAGTGATCGAAAAATGACGATATGGTGACTTTCACAAGTGTGTCCGTGTGTTTCCAGGTATGGACAACATGTCCAAGTCAATGAACGCGACATCTCTGGCGGCAGCAACGGCAGCGATCAACAGCAACAGCGTGGGAAGCAACGCGGGTCACCAGTCGCACTCACGCAGCAGCAGTCACGATACTAGTCTAATATTGTTAGGGGATCAGGTGAAGCGGAGCCAGTCGAACAGCTCGCTGTCGGATCAGTCGAGTCCGCCGCAGGGCAGTCCCAAGTTGCCGATGCGGCGGCGGCACAACAAGCCGCGCGCGCCGACGCCGCCGGACCAGAGGGCGGAGCGCCAGCGCTCGGAGAACAGCAATCACCAAAGGAGTCGCAAGGAGAGCTCTTCGCAGACGCCACCGTCGGCGGTGAAGAGTCAGCAGCGGGGCAGCGTGGAGAACCTGGCCAAGCCCGAGAAGCCGCCGCGGCCTGTGATGTCGGCGGAGTGTCAGACACTCAATCGCATGGCGTACAAGTGCGCCAAGGCGGGCGTGGCGGCCGGTGTGACGCCCCAGAAGCCCGTCGCGCTGCCCAGGACGAGTGTGCCGACGCCGAAGAATGGATCGGGCGAGGTGGGCAGAGGCAAGAGCAGCGACGAGGACGACGTTGTGATCAGGAATAGTCATGGGGAGAAGCCGGCCATTCCCGAGCGACCGGCCACGCTGATGCGTCCCATCAGCTTCAAGGGCTCTCTTCAGGAGGTCAACATGATCCCTTCTGGGGGCGCCAATGTGGCGGACGTGAAGAAGGCGCAGAGCTTCCGGCTGAGCACGGGCAAAGATCCCACGACGCTCGAGAGGACGCATATCTACAATGTGGACAAGCAGCAAGTGGCCATCATTGACGTTGGCGGAGATGCCAACAACGGACGCCACTTGAAGACGACCGCCCAGCCGGATCCTGAGCCAGAGCCATCCACTCCGACAGACGCCGAGGGATCGGGTGTGCCGGCTTCGCCGCGCGGGGAGCAGCAGAAGATCAAGCGGCCGCAAATCCCGGCGCCGCCGCCACCGTCTGCCGTGACGCGGGCGAGCATCGCGGCGGATTCGACGAACTTATAACAAGAACTTCTTATTTAGTCCTCCTGTGAGCGCTGAGGAGGACAACCAGTCATGCTGGCGTGGCCAGAAGCTCCCGCAAGAGAAAGAGAGAGGTATATCGCTTAAGAAATGCGCGCATCTGTGAAATGTTGTCTCAAAGCGACTGCGTAAGTGATTTTAAGTTTAAAGAATTATTCTTTTTTCTCTTCCTTTTTTTTACATTCACTAGAATTTAGGGTGTTGACAAGTGTTTTTGGGAAACAGTGAAACGTGAGGGAATGAGAACCAGTGTACAAAATTTGTGAGCATTATCATGGTCAGAATGTGTTATCACACCAAATAATTGCGAAACTTGTTTTGTTTCTCTGTTTTTCTACTTGATGGAAGAAGAAGATGAAAAAAGTGAGCCGGAAATATTTTCACTTTACATAGGCATTTCCTGCTCACGTTGTTTGGAGGGAAATAATTTTTCGCCTGTACTGAGGAGTGAGAGACATTATAAACAATTTATGCAGCTACAATCACTTGTTCGTAGACGAAAAATATTTCATATATTCTCTGGTATTTAAATGATTGAGGAGGAGACAAATACGCAAGATTTTAATTGGAAAAAAAGGAGGAGAATATGAGATGGAGGCGTTTATAATTCAACAAATTAATCAAATTCACAATTTCCTAGTAATATTACCTCTGCAATGATAAACAAATACAAGAAAAAATATATTCTGCATTTTGTAATAGAGAATTACATTATATATTTAGAATGATTCATAAGCAAATTTCTCTACTCATAATCTTCTATTTTATAGTCAATAAGTGGTGAGATTTAGATATCATCTGCCACCACGATTCTAACAATGTATCTAGAGGACATTTTAATCTTCACATTGAATGCATATCATCTAGAGAACTTTCTTCGTCATCACGAATCACATGAGGGCAGTGTTTCTCAAACTGTGCGTCGCAGAAACTGTAAGAAGCTTGAAAAACGGCCTTACCTCTTCTACAAAAGCAACCGCATTACCGACTCACTTAGGACTCATTCAGAATACAAAGATTAAGAATAGTGATAAGAAGCAGTAGCTAAGCGACTCCTTTTTGAAATTGTCTTTTGGAATGTGTGGTGAGAAATTCGTAAGAACTCTTGAACGCCAAATATTTTCGAAAATATAAGTATTATATTTGACTTAATATCAATCAATGCGAATGATGAAGAAGCAATTTGCTAAAAACATTACTTTAATCAAATATTGAAATTACATTTTCTAAGTCAATCGCTAAAACAGCATTTAAACAACCATCTAAACATCTAAATAAGCGCAAGGCAAAACATTTCCACTGTATGACTAAAGTAAAGGAATTTGAAGACAATATATTTATGAAAATATCAATCAATCCTTCTAAATTACGGATCAAAGTTAATCAATTTTCTACACATTGCGTACAAAAGTTAAGAAAAAGTCTATTTCATCTGTGGAATACCGAAAATATTCCTTCTGTCAAAGCTAGTCACGTACGAATAAACGTCCCTTTTAAATCACATAATAATCTAATGAAAGAATTTATACTAAGCATATATTTTTCTAGTTTTCTACATCCATAAATATTAGAAGATCGCATTACTTTTCTAAACTTTTTCACTCATTCAATATTCGCATCATAGCGACTCTCCATTGATTACACAGAGATTGAGAAACACTGTTCCGATATAATCCTTTAAATCACTCTCGCTTACGATAGACGCATAAACTGATAAAAATCTATTTGAACTAACAAATTTTCGAGCAAATGAATCGTTATCTAAATTCACTTTCTGAAGTACCGCGAAGAGTTTAGTCAAAAATTAAAAGAATAAATTTAGTCTGAAAAAAAGAAAGGTTTAGTGAAAAATATGTTAAACAAATAGTTGATGAAAAAAAAGAAAAATTGAGCGTTTTTTCCAAATTGTTGTGTAGTTGATAAAAAAAAAGACAAGATAGAGAGTAAAATTGTTCATTTCTTGACTTAATTTTTAACTTAGAGGCGATGCACTTTGAAAAGAGATTACAAATAGTGCCTGAACATTTGAAACAAAAAGAAGATAATTTGTAATTGCATATTTTGTAAATTGTGAAATGAAAAAAAGAAGAAGCAAAAATCTTGGATTAGAAGATTGAGAGCAATATCGATGAAAGCGCGCATAACTTGTTGGCATAGAAATTTTCGACAATATTCTTTCAAAAATAACCTTCCTTCCATTTTCTACGATTATCACGCGAAAGAGGTTGAGAAATGAGAGCAGATGAGATACGGCGATTCTGCCATTTCGGTATGATAAGAACATTGAGAGGGAATTACAATGCCGACAATATATTCAGAACAAATTTAATAATTTTTTAATAATGAGAAATAGCGAGAAAATTGCTAATTTTTTGTATCACTATTAAATACCACTAAATCTTCGTAATATTTCATAATGGAAAGAAACAAATATTGGGCGGAGAATGCCTGCTGTATCCTTTGTATTTGAGCAATGTGAAGAAAGCGAGCCGAAGAGCGAGAGAATATACAAATATATTCAATGTATAGCGGAGTGTTTATTGATAGAGTGTCAACAAGGTGGTGGACAATCGATATAATCTGCCCTTCGGTTGCTCGGCAGATGCAAGAGAGCTTCCACAGCTGGGAATTTGTGCTTCCGATGGGTTTGCGTGCTGTGTGTGGGTCGCCGGCGGAGGTTCTCGTTGGTTGCAGTGTGTTAATGCCCACGGAGAATCACTTTGCGCGCTTCGTGAGTGGAGAGAGCGAGAAAGAGAGCGCAAGAGGGAGTGTGTGATAAGCTCCAGTGGCCGAGGAGACACTCTCGATGGGCAGAAGAGCGTGGATTCAGTGGCGACTTGTGCGGCAAAGGCGAAGGAGTGAAGTTTCCCAATGTCGTGCCTCTGGTATTTTGGGGCCATGAGCTCCGCAGCGACGATGACACTGCTGGTGCTGTACCTGGTGGCGTCCACATCCTCCAGCCAGATCGTCCTCAACACCGGCTGGAGTCTGCACAGCGAGAACACAAGTGAGTGCAGAGCTGGAAAAGTACTGTCGCGGGGGGGATTAATTGAAGTGCAAGAGTGAATTGAGTGTGGGCGATAAGAAGAAGCGCGCCTTCAAGTTCAATGCGCCTATTAGTGAATCAATTCCCACTCTCTCTCTCTCTTTCTCGACTCGCAGGCATAAGCATCAATGGGATTTCTCTGCCTTCCGGTGTCTACTCGGCACTGCAAGATGCCGGCTACACCAACTCCGTCCTGCACTCGTACAATGATGTGCAGCTCAGGTGGGCTGCGATGGATAATTGGGCATATTCAGTCAATTTCACAGGTGAGTCTTGCAAAAAAGAACACATAAGCGTTGATTGCTAGACGAAAGGTCAAATGAATGATGAAGTGGTGTAGCTATTTATGGAATTTCAATGGTCATACCTAATTTAATTTCCATTTAACCGGTGAAAATAACATGGAAATGAATTTATGGAAGTTTCTTGTTCTCACAGATTAATTCAATCGAAGGATATTTTCACCCATTCACATTTCTCTACAGTGACCGATGAAGTTCTGGCCGCCAAGCACATCATCCTCACCCTCCACGGAGTGGACACTGTGGCTGAAGTGTACTTGAATGGGTTTCAATTAGCCACAGTGGATGGCAAAGTTCAGCTGGACAACATGTTCACACGCTACAGATTCGATGTGAAGCAATTGCTGGTGGAATCCATCTTCGAGCGCTTCTGCACTGTGACGGTGAGAATAAAATCTCCTGTGATCTATGCGAAATACTTGGCCGGGAAACATCCCACAACTCCTCCAGAATGTCCGCCCAACGTGTACAACGGTGAGTGCCACATGAACTTCCTGCGGAAGATGCAGGCGAGCTTCTCCTGGGATTGGGGACCAGCCGTTCCCTCGTCCGGACTGTGGAGACCCGTCGTCTTGGAGTACTACAACTCAGTGGTGATCAGAGACATCACAGTGCAGCTGGAGGAGGACAGAGCCCAGGATCTGTGGAATGTGCATCTGGTGATTTATCTGGAGGCTGGCAGTGGAGTCAATGATGTCAAAGGAACGCTCAAACTGACTTTCGTGGACTTTCCAGGAAGCGAGAAATCTTTCCAGGTGGACGAGAAGACGGATGCGAGTGGAGAATTGGCCTTGACCGCTTCTCTGGATGTTCCCAGGAGTGATGCTGAGCTCTGGTGGCCAAATGGCTATGGCAGACAGAAGTTGTATGTGCTCCAAGCGATCTTCGATCCCGGAAACATTCCACGCACCAGAGGAAATGCAATTGTTCAGCTACAGCAGGAGCAAGTGTCCAAGAGCATCAAGGTGGGCTTCAGGACCATCGAACTGGTGCAGGAAGAGACGCCAGACAATGGCGGCAAGGGATTGTCCTTTTACTTCCGCGTCAATGGGGTGGCGATCTTCATGAAGGGCACCAACTGGATTCCCTCCAGCATTCTGCCGGAGAAGTCCTTCAGCATGCAGCACGTGAAGCATCTCCTGAAGGCCGTGAAGACGTCGCACATGAACATGATCAGAGTCTGGGGAGGAGGTCTCTATGAGGATGATCGCTTCTATGAGCTGACAGACACTTATGGGATTCTCATCTGGCACGATCTCATGTTCGCCTGCGCCATGTATCCAGTCTTCCCGGACTTCCTGGCGTCTGTACAAGAGGAAGTGCGTCAGAATGTGCGCCGGATTCAGAGCCATCCGAGTGTGGCCATTTGGGCGACTAACAATGAGAATGAAGTGGCTCTGGTGCAGAATTGGTATCACACAGGCGGCGATCGGCAGAGATTTGAGCGGGAATATCGTCAGCTGTACATCGATGTGGTGAAGAAGGAGGTGGAAATTCATGATCCCTGGCGAGAGTGTCTCAGCTCGTCTCCGTCAAACGGACGCCAGACAGAGGCGGATAATTGGATATCCAAGGATCCTCAGGATTGGCATTTTGGCGATATTCACTACTACAATTACGACCTGGACGCGTGGAATCCCTCAATCTACCCAAGACCTCGATTCGTCTCCGAGTACGGCTTCCAGAGTCTGCCCTCGTTGAATGCCTTTGAGAGCATCCTTGCGCCAAAGGACAACATCAGTGAGATGATAAATCATCGGCAACACTCTCCGCTGAGGAATTTTCCCATTGATGGACTGATAAAGCGCCACTTGCCGCTGGAGACTCTATCCGGAGATCCCAAGGAAGTCCTGGAAGCGTACATCTTCTTCAGTCAAGTGAGTCAGGCGATGGCCGTGAAGACAGAGACGGAAGTGTATCGCGCCGGTCGCATTGGCCCCATGAACACCATGGGGGCGCTCTTCTGGCAGCTCAACGACGTCTGGGTGGCGCCTTCGTGGTCCAGTATCGAGCTGAACGGCAACTACAAGATTCTCCAGCACTGGGTGAAGCAATTCATGGCTCCGCTGCACATCATTCCGCTGGTGGATCCGCGGAAGAACCTCCGGATTTACGTGGTGAGAGACTCTCTGGGTGAGACGCAGAAGCTGACGGTGAGATTGCATCTGCACCACTGGGCGGGATTCGATGTGAAACTGGAGAAATCATGGTCACTGGACATGGTAAGTGAAGACGATTTTTTTTTCTAATTGAATCTCTAGTCTTTATTAATATGATCACTCTCTTTCAACAAAGACTCTCAGTGAGTCATGTAATTTATTTGAAAAAAACCACTCGAAAGATAACATGTCGATTTACAGGCAATCAAACAACTTCATTAGCGCAGGAATTTTATCAATCAATTGTTCATTCACACACGCTTTTATCTAAAAATGCATCAAATGTCTTTCTCAATTCCATTTATTCCTAACTTGTGGAACTCTTCTATTGCATTTTCATCTCACGAATTGCCCCAAATCCTACCAAAAAACTCACAAAACTTCAACACACTATTTTGACGAATGCATTTAAATCTCTCTTCCAGGAGGAAAACACTGCAGTGATTCTGGACACTCTCAACTTTGTGGATATCTTCGGATCAGAAGTGATGGAAAAATCCGGCTTTCTCTATTTCCTCCTCGAAGACGCCTCAGGTCGACTGATCTCCACTAATTTCATCTTCCCGGAGAAGCTGAGAGACGCCCAGGGAATCGTAAATCCACACATTGACGTCGTTGTGGCGTCCAACAGATGCAGCTTCTCCGTCAGCCAAATCTCTCTCGAGGTCAAGGCTCGAGCGCCGGCGATTTTTGTCTACATCCAAATCAACAATCCAGACATCAAGAGTTACTCGCTGTCGAAGAATGGCTACATTCAGTTGGAGCCAATTCACATGATAAGACTGGAGTTTGCGAACGAAAACTGCGCCACAACACTCCAGAAGAGAGACATTCGCATCCTCACCATTAATGACTACTTGAAGACCACCCAGTAATTCTTGCCACCGATCTTGCCAAACACAGATGGGAGGATTATGCAAATTAACCACGATGTCAAGCACACTTCTCCAGTGATAACTTCTCAATCGCCGCACGAAGGTCGTTCACTTCGTTGGCATGAGCGCAGCTCTCTGGAATGCCACCGAAGACCTCATGGAACTCCGCCAGGTGATCTCTCCCCAGGGATTTCGCCGTCTCTGCAGGTGACAAATTAAAGTAAAGTGATTTCAATAATCCACAAATTTATGTTTAAAGAGCAAAAAGAACGATGTATTTTATCAAATAAAAACCTTATAAGAAACTCACCCAATAATTCAGCCTTCAGTCGCTCATCCGGATCATCCAGATGGATGAGAATCTTCGCAAAGATCTCCTTCACCACCTTTCGCCACGCATCCGCCTGACCAATCTCCAATCCCGCCTTTAATTTCAACGTCGTCAGCGCCGCAGCTGCGGCACATCGAATCTCCGCACTGGGATCATCGAATCTGGCCAGGAAGCCGAAAGCCATGAGTCTCAGTGGCTCATAAGGCAGTGGCCCAGATGCCATCAAGGCAGCCAAAGCGTACTTCCGAATCACAACGAGATTGTCATCCAAGAGAGCTATGAGATGATCAGCGATTTCAGGAATGATCACGAAACACTCCTCATCCGCTCCACGAGCTGCCGCAGCCACAACAGTCACGCACATTGCACGAATGGATTCCGCACTGAATCCCGCCTTCCACACGAGTCCAGGCACGATGTTGGTGTCGAGAAATCCCCTCAGCAGAGCCACTCTTCCCTCCAGACTCGTGACAATCGTTTCGCGCCACTTCAACATGGCCGTGGACACGCCACAGAGGATCTTCACCTTCGCCTCTGGAGATCCAAGAGTCATCACAGTCTCCACGGCTTCCTGGAGTGCCGAAAAGGCTGGGATGTGGAAGCCACAGTGCGCCAGAAGACCGTACAGACAGAGAATGGGCTCAGCTCGTTCGGAATTTGTACTGTCGAGATCTTCGATGGATGACACAACGCTCTCGAGATGCTTCACATGCAAGACATTCACATTCCCTTGAGATGGCTGCGCCAAGGCTTCCAGGGCATCTTCGATCTTCTCCTGGATGGCTTCCTCTTCGCTGAGGGCGAGAATTGTGACTAGAGTTCGATACAAACTTCTCTCAATCTCAGCTTGTTCTTGGCCACGGACTTGATACTCTCTCACGAGGATTTCGGTGATCATCAGCAGGTGGTTTTGGAAGTTGTAGTCGAGATTCATAGCCAGAGAGATGAGAAGTTGAGCGATTTTAGCTGTGTCTTGCCACTTCTCTGGCCCAGAGCCGACAAACATCGCAATGAAGCACTTGAGATACCCAAGATTTGGCCACTTTTCCAGACATTCCATCGCTCTGGAGCTCCAATCGCTGTAATCAACAAGACTTCCCATCAATTTAGCCACTCGCACAGCTTCTGAAGCCACCCAGCGATTCTCATCCATGCACGTCTTCGCCAGAACTGGATAGATGTCCGACAGGTGCGGCAGAATGGCCTTCTCAGCATGCAGGACAGTTTGGGTGAGCAAGAGTGTGGCGTGCAGACGAACTTCTTCCTTCCACTCCTCCATCTCGTGCAGAATGATGTTGATCATCTTGAAGCCACGCTGGGCAATGGCTCGACATCCCAACGTGGGTCTTCTCCACTCCTCCGGATAGTTTTCTCCAGCACTATCGACCAGAGCAATCCTCATGAGTTCCTTCTCATTCTCAGCGTAGAACTTCTGGCCGCATTTTTCCCACAGTTCAGCAATTTCCAGTGCCACTTCGGGACTCTCGTCGCTCAGACCACCGAAAACGAGTGGCAGGATCCTGTCGAACAGTCCATAGCGATCCCGGAGGTCCAGCAGCATGCGACAGCCCACTCTGCCGCACTCCCGACGAACATTCGGGGAGTCATCCATGAGGAATCTGCTGAGTTCCACGATAATCTTCACGATGCAGTCGGTATTCGTGGTGATATGTAGTGCCACAATTCCCAGGGTCTCCACAGCTGCTGTCCGGATGGGGGAGTGTCGATGCTTGAGAAGTGCCAGCAGAGGATTCGTCAAGACTTCCGCTCTGTAGTGGAAACTCTGCGTGGCGACGCTCAGTTCTCCGATGAGAACGCAGCTCTGACGCAGAATGCTTGGATAGGAGTCCGTGAGGGTCTTTAGGAGAATGTCCACAATCTCATTGTAGGCCTTCAGGAGAGGATCCTTCCCGGCGAAGGCAGGATTTCGCATCGAATACTTCCCGACAATTCCAGTGGTTTGTTCAAGCAGCTGCAAACGCAACTCCTCAGACTCCTCCACCAATTCCTTCTGCCCAATTCTTCTGGCAATGGTGGGAATCACGTAGGACAGATAGAATTCATTCTCCGGAAGCTTCTGTAGCATCTCCGAGACCACAGAAACTGCCACTGTGCGACAACTCTCGTACTTATCGCTGTAGCACTTGAGAATGTGCAGATAGATGTAGTCGAAGACGTCTGTGGCATTCTCCGGATTCACTTCATCCGATTGGCACAACTCCAGCAATCCCTGAAGAGCCCTCTGACGCACTCTCCTGTCCGGATTCGTGAGCGCCGTGCAAAACTGCTCGAGTTTTGCACGTAAATCACCCAAGAACGACTCAGTCATCTTGTGGACACTGAAAAGACGGATTTGCAGACTTATTGATCAAACAAAATCCTTGACTGCAGCACTTACTACTGTGGTTTCCTGGATATTTCCTTCCCCAAACAAATCCTCCACCTGCTCCAAATGTGAGGTTATGACGACCAATGACGACACTGACCAATGAGGTTAGGGCCAGTAGATGGAAATTGAAAAACTGCTTTTCCCGCAAGGAAAGATCTATTTATTCCATTTTACATCCTCCTCTAAGCACATGACTCACTGAAATTTCATTGCCCATCCTGTTTCGCCACTCCGGGAGGGAAATTGAGGGCCAAGACCCCACTTAGTGGTATTTGTAGTTCCTATGACGCTCTGAAAAGTACCAAAAGTTCAATGAGCACCACGAGAGGCCGAAGGAAAACGCGCGATACTCACTAATCTTTCCGTAGTTGATGCAGTAGAAGAAGATCATCGCAGACACGGTGAGTTGGAAAAAGGGAGCGACTCCCGTCCTCTTGGGCTGCACGTACTTGTGCTGCCATCGCCACCAGGCGCGGCTCATGGCTTGGGCCACTGCCTGGGGAGACTTATTGCGCCTCCCGAGCCATGCTCCCAGCTCCCCGAGCTTCACTTGCCCGAACGGAGTGTCAGCTGAAAGAGGCCACGAAGTCTTGAGTAACTCCCGGACGGTGAAGTTATATAATCACACCGAGAAGAAAATCTCATCTTCCCAGGAAAAGTTTGCTAACTTACGCTTTCCATAGAAGCGCGCCGGGTCGTAGGGACCGTGCACCTTGGGATTATACTCAATAGGATAGTCTCCGAAGCCCATTTTCACTCCCGAGAAATTTTCAACAGCACTCAGCCCGAATGACAGTCAAAACCCCAGAAACAAAGGGGTTCGTCAATGCGAAATCGAGAGCCGCTTTTCTACGAAGCAGCAAGAGTGAAACATAGAAGAAATATGTTAAAATGCACTGCTTGAAAAGCTCTGAAAATTTTATTACATTCATAATTACAAAGAAAACGATGCACAACAAATGAACATGAGAAAATCGTGGAAAATCAAACATGTTTCGACATATTCCAGTGGTGAACACGCATGTTTCAGATTTCGTGCCCGCTGGAAAACGCCGCCAATTTGCTATAAAAATAATATGGCGAATAGTCGAAGGCGCAAAATGCATGAAATCTCGCGGGCAGCATTTATTGACTAATAAAATTACCCGGCCGCATTCCTCCGGCGACTACTGCTGCCCTCCGCCCCGTTGATCCGCGTGGAAGCTCTCCACGTGATGGTTGAGCTCCACGTCGCTGTTGAACTGCAGATCGCAGTAGTCGCACTTGGGGGGCCCCGCGGCGGGTGGTTTCGCCTTGAGCAGCTTCTGAAAGTCCTGGCCGTGTGCCTGAGAGCAAGCCTTGATGTGGGTGCGCATGTCCTTGACCTTCCGGAAGCGGATGGTGCAGTAGTTGCAGGTGTAGAGCCGATGGGAGTCGATGATGTGCGTCTGGATCTCGTGGGTTCGCATGTGCCTCACGAGCTTGCTGGGCGACTCCACGGATTTGTTGCATTGCATGCACTTGTATCGCTTGGGGCGCACCCGCAGCGTGGGATTGCTCTTCTGTCTCACTCGCTTGCTGGCCTCCACCTCCTCGGACTTTATTTTCACCTCTCCGGACTCCAGTTGGTAGTTTGTACTGCTCGACTCAGAATACGTCGCCTCGTAGAGCGGCTTTGTCTGTGCATCCTCCTCCAGCAACTCTCCGCCCAGTTGGCTGCCCAACAGCAGCGGATCAAGTGTCTGGCTCTCCTGCTGCGGAACACTCTTGGCCAGCGACAGGCTCTCCATGAGCAGCTTCCTCTGCGACATTTCGCACTTTTGCCGAAACAGATCGATATTTGTGAGGTGGGACGCACACATCTTGCATATCATGTGTGGCAGGCCGTCTGTAACGGAGAACTGAGTCCCCATGGGGGCGATTAGAGCTGAGAGAGGCTCCACTGGGGTGGAACTTGCCAGACCAACCTGAACATTCGCGAAGGAGATCACCACCTCGTAGAACTTGCGGTTGCTGTAGTCGAGATCGGAGAACAGTGACACCTCCTGTTCCGGGGACAAGCACAGGCGACACAGCTTAGCAAATCTATCCATTTTCGCTGGGAAAAAGCCAGGAAAATTCGTCCTGAAAAAACGCCACAATCTGACAGTCCCTTTTGTTTATTTTGACAATTTCCAATTTCCCCTGCAGTCTGGAACGCACTGAAAGCGCGGAAGTGGTCGAAAGTGGAATGGAGGGGAATTATAGCGAAGTGTCACGGGAAAGTTTGTTTTGGTTGGTACTGTGCATTGTTCTCTGCGAAAAACCCAGTGAAAACTCCCAGAAAAATGGCCAGCAGCTCCCTTGAGGGCAACAAGGTGTGTCGCCTGTGTTTGTCCAAGGAGCAGGATGTGTTTCTGGAGGAGAAGGTGGCGAAAGACACAAAATATTGGCAAGTCGCCATCAGCTTTACGAACATTGAGGTGAGCATCTTGAAATATTTTCCACGCGAAATGCTCTTTTATTGACTGTTTCTGCGTCTCTGGGTGTAGTACTCTCCACATGACGATCTGCCGCAGTCCATTTGCCGGATGTGCGCTTCGCAGCTGTCCAATATTCACATCTTCAAGCAGCGCTGCGAAGCATCTCATGAGACTCTGATGTCGAACTTTGCCAACGACCTCGGCGTGGATTACCTCGAGGAGGACAAGTTTATCCCTGAATTCAGCACAATCCTAGTCAAGGAGGAGGATGGCATGATCTCTGACCACTTCGACGACAGAGACATCCTGCCGGAGAGCGATGGCGCGGACGAGGACATCCTGAACGACAAGGAGTTGATTGAGATTGTGGAGGCGAAGCCAATGAAGCCTGTGGAGCCGGTGAAGAAGGTGAAGCCCAAGAAGGAGGACTCCACTGAGCCGAAAGGCAAGAGAATCCGTAGGAAAAACTACCAATGCAACGAATGTGGCGTTCTGGTTGAATCGCCAAGCAAATTGGCGCGGCATCTCCGGATTCACGTATTCGACAACCAGAAGGTGCTGCACAGCTCCAAGATAGGCAAGGTGTTCTCCTGTAAGAACTGCGGCATGGCATTCCTGAAGACGAAGCAGCTGAGAATCCATCTCTTGAGCGGCAGATGCAAGCGAATGCCGGGCAATCAGGATTATCAGCCGGAGGAGGACAAGGCGCCCTCGGAAGTCGCTGGTCAGAGTGTCTCTGAGCCTGCAGTGGTGGATATGATGGCAGTTGAGGAGACGCCTGAATTGACCGATCAGGAGCAATCGGAGAGCTTCAAGTGCTACATTTGCTTCGAATTCCACACTTCTCTGGAGAGCCTGGAGGCTCACATGAAGGAAGTTCACGGGAGAGTCGGTGATCCGCTGTTCTGCTGCACGCGTTGCTCCTTCACGCACGAGTCCGCGGACGAGATGATCGAGCACTATCGCGTGAGTCAATCGTGTGGCGAAGAAGCCAGATCCGGCGAGAAGGACAACCGCTTCAAGTGCGAGATCTGCGATAAGCAGTTCCGCTACAAATCCTCCCTGAAGAACCACAGCGTGTGCCACACGGGCGAGAAGCGCTTCGAGTGCGACATCTGCTTCAAACGCTTCACCAGGAAAGGCGAGATCATCGTCCACAAGCGACTGCACTTCGATTTGCGCCCGTACGTCTGTCAGGACTGCGGTATGGGCTTCCGCAAGTCCAGCAATCTCATCCGGCACCGCGTGATTCACACCGGAGAGGCCAACTACCAGTGCCACGTCTGCCTGAGGCGCTTCAAGTGGCCCACGGCGCTCAAGTGCCACATGAACTCGCACACGGGCGAGAAGCCGTACAAGTGCAAGTACTGCCCCAAGGCGTACACCAGCAACAGCGGTCTGATCAAGCACTACGCCAACCATCCGGACATCGAGGGCGAAGTGGAGGTTTGCAATTGATCGCGAGCGTCCGGATTTGATCTCTAAGTGGAAATTTTAGTGACTTTTTATGCTCTTCTTTTGCGGCTTTTACCATGCATTTGCACTGCAAAAGGGGAAAGAGAGAATTGTAAAAACCATGTGCATCCTTATTTAACTAGAATCACTAATGTAATAATCATTAAACTACCAATAAAGGGGTTTGCCTTCATACAACGGAGGTATTATGAATATGAATTATATCAGTTTTTTCTTTCTTTCACGTGAAGATTCAGCAACTTTTATTATTGGTCAGTCTGTTCTTCCTGCATTGTTTCTCTGCAAACACTCATGATTTTGTCTTGGAATTCGAAAAACTTATCATCCGGCACAGATTTTATGAAAACTCGTATATACTCGAGGAACGCTTGCTTTACACTTGAGTCTCTGGGAGATTCCCCGTCGTTCTCCTCCAAATCTCTGACATCACGTAGAAGAGCTTCTTGTGTGCGCTGTGTAAAATCCAGGACGTTATCGAGTTTTTCGAAAATCTTCCTAATATGCCTTCGATTTTCGAGACGATTTCTCCTTGGTGTACCACTTTGTGCCACACGTTGACTTCCTACACTTGTTGTTGCATTAGAAGTGGTATCAAGACTCCTCAGAGAAGCTCTGGAAGAATTTTGAGTACTTTCAAGTCTCCCAAGACTTGTGTTTGCTAGAGACTTCTGTGAATCCTTTGGACGCACGGTCACAATTGGGTCTGCTGAACTCTTGCCCAATTTTATAGTTTGCTGTGGTGCAGAAGACGGTCCCGAGGAAGCTCCTCGGTGGTCAGGAGAGGTGGAGTCTTCAGTAACCGTTGAAAGCCCTTCGGCGGCTCTGTTTAGCTGGTTTTGCTTCCCAAAACAGACGCTTGGTCTAGAAAACATAAAATTACAATTAGTACACCAAGAATGAAAAGAGTAAGCAAGCTTTACTCAAACCTTAACTTAAACTCTTTCAAATTTTCATCGAGGAACGACAGGCGATCATGGAATACAAAATATTTCGATGCATATCGTCCTCGTGTGACGTATCTCTTAAGACTTTCTTTCGACCTCCTATTATAGTAGGACCTCTTTAATGCCATCCACTCGCTCTTGACTCGCAAAACTGAAAAGAAAGTATATTTTAATGGTTTTAATAGAATACTATGATATTGTATCTTAGCTGAACTCCGAAAAGCCAGCCGAATTGGGATTGGTTTTTGTAATTGAACAAGAGTTTTACCGCTTAATTTCAGCTGCGTCGCCAAATTCTGCCACTTCTCCTCCTGCTCAATTGTTCTCCCGGAAGACACATCTGGTTTTCTCCACAATAAAGGCTCATTGTTAATAAATTGAATCAAAAATTTTGTTTGCTTCTCACTCAACACCATGGAATTCATGACTTGTTTTGCAGACACTCCGAATGAATCTGACGCTTCAGCGCAGTATTGCCAGATGGAAATTTGCAGAGTTTTGGAAATCACGAATCCCACTAGGGCGCGTGAGAGAAGAAAGAACAAGAAAAGGAGAAAAAACACCAAAGAGGGAGTTAAAAAATATAGTTTCTGTTCAGCATCAAAGATCGATTGATCATAGAAGAGTTAAACATCAATTAGTTAAAGAAATTGGGGTGGAAAACAAGGAAAATCACAATGCCATAAATGTGTATGGAAACTTCGTTATTAGACGAAGTGGAAAGTGGTCTAAATGGCGCTGAGTGGAGGGGAAACTGACAGGCAAGTCGAAGTCGTCGAATATGGGAAGGTTTGTTTTGGCTGCTGCGTGTTTCGTTTTTGTGAAAAATGGAAAAGTCCACGAGAAATAAGCGGAAAATGACCAATAAATCTTCAGCTGGTGATGAAGTGTGTCGACTATGCCTCACAAAGGAGCAGGATGTTCACTTGGACGACAAGCTTTCCAAAGACACGAAATACTGGCAAGTTGCTGTTGGCTTTGCGAACATAAAGGTAAATATTGGTGAGAATGCTCGAGAAATGCTTAGAAATTCACGGTTTTCTTGATTTCCTGGCTGCAGTACTCTCCCAAAGATGGGCTGCCGCAGTCGATTTGCCGGATGTGCGCCTCGCAACTCACGAATTTTCACATCTTCAAGCAACGCTGCGAGGCATCGTACAAAACTCTCCTGGGCACCGTGACAAGCAGCAAATCCCAGGCTGGAAGAGTGGAGAAAGAGAAGTCGATTCCGGAGATTAGCATGGTCCTGGTGAAGGAGGAGATTTACGTGTCGGATGACCTGAGTGAGAAACCTGTTAAAGTTGAGGAGAAGGAGGAAGAGGAGGATGAGGAGGAGGAAGATGAGTTTGGGGAGGAGGAGGAAATAGAGTACTTGATGGAGTATGAGGAAATGGAGCCAAAGAAGAGAATCCGCGAGAAGAGGCATCAGTGCACGATCTGTGGCGTTTTGGTGGAATCTCCCAGCAAATTGACGCGACATCTCCGGACGCACGCCTTGGACAAGTCAATGATGCTCCACACGTCGGACATCGGCAAAGTGTACTCGTGTAAGCACTGCAATGTGGCTTTTATCAAGCTGAAGCAGTTGAGGATTCACATCACCTCGGAAAGGTGCATGAAAACATCTCAGCAGAGTGCAGAAAACGCCGCGGGGACTTCTGAGGAAGTCTTCAAGTGCTACCTCTGCACCAGAGCCTTCAACACTGTGGACACTCTCAAGGCGCATCTTGGCGAGACCCACGAAAGGCCAAAAAATTCCCTGCTTTGCTGCTCTGGATGCTCCTTCACGCACGAATCCACCGAGCAGATCATCGAACACTATCGCTCGAGCCAGCTGTGCTGCCAAAGAGCGAGATTCGGCGAGCCGTCCGCCAGCTACGCCTGTGAGATCTGTGGCAGAGAGTTTCGCTACAAATCCTGTCTGAAGAAGCACACAATTTGCCACACGGGCGAGAAGCGCTTTGAGTGCGACATCTGCTTCAAGCGCTTCACCAGAAAGGGTCAAATCGTCATCCACAAGCGGATGCACTACAACATCCGGCCATTCACGTGCCAGGAGTGTGGCATGGGCTTCCGCAAGTCCAGCGATCTGAAGCGCCACCAGAGGATTCACACCACTGAGGCCAACTATCAGTGCTTCATCTGCCTGAGGCGCTTCAAGTGGGATTCAGCGCTCAAGATCCACATGAACTCGCACACGGGCGAGAGACCCTTCAAGTGCAAGCACTGTCCCAAGGCGTACACCTGCCGGAGTGGCTTGAAGAAGCACCTCGCCCATCACGAGGACAGCGGAGAAGCGCCTGCTCGCGTGACTCGAGCGCATGCCAAAGTGGAAAGTCCTTCGAAATCCTAAGTAAGTAACCAAGCATGAGTTGGAAATATTAGTGAAATAAAGATTCGTCAATCGCCGTTGAAGATATGAAAATGACTATTGAGTAAAGTTTCCCCTTGATTTAATTTTATTCATGTTTATGTGATTGTTCATGCTAATTTTATTCACCGAAATAAATGTAATAATTTTACTCACCGCTCATTACCTTCATTGTTCTAGAGATCATGCTTGCACACAAGTGCATTTAATTGGCGTCGACTGTCTGAATGGGCGGTAATTATTTGGATTTGTCAATCGATTGTTTTATCGAGGGACCCTCGAAAAGTGTGGACAAAAAGAGCATTATGACGAGAGCACAGCGCACGATGCACAATGAGGGTCTGTTGCTGGTAATGAAATGGATTTTTATGGTGTGATCGGTAATCAAAAGCGGAAATATGTGAGGAAGTTTTATTGCTGTGAACATCATTTTATGCTCCCGGGGAAATTGGTAGAGCGGATATTGGAATTTTTGCGATGAAAAGGCAGAGATTGAAAAATCTCGTCAATTTTCCACTCAACACTTGCAACGGGATACTCGCAGGAGTTCATTACGATGGAATCTTGGAAATGAACGTATTGCAGTGCTGCTCGTCTACCCTTCGAGTCTCAATTTAGCAAATTGGGTGAGCTCGACTCTGGAGGAGTCGTGAAAGAGGAGAAATGTAAGTAATACTGAATTTATATGTCTATATAGGGGGGTAGAAAAGATATTTCTTGTGAGCCTGGCTGTATTTAAATTTATTTACAGTGCTTCACTTCTGTTTCTTTGCCTCTATTTTGCTTAATTTAAGTAATGATGCACCGTGGCTTTCAGCAAATCAAAGAGTATTTCTCTATATCAACCTCTTTTTTGATCAGGGCTTTTTTTCCCACCATTCGCAGTGGAATAAAAAACACGAGATCGGGAATAAATAAAAAGCTGTATTACAACGCCTGACCACGCATAAATTCCGTGAAAGCACTTCAGCTCTAAAGAGTTTCTGGAGACAGAATTGAAAACACTCTCAACTATTTCCCTCCCCGTTTATGCCCATCGACCAGCGTGAATGGGTGAATATTTCTAACACAATAATGTGCAAAACATGATATACCTTCCTTTGAACTTCCGCGCGCGCTTTCTGCGAAGAAAAGTCCTTCTTCATTGAGAGCGGCGTGAGAGAGAAAGTTTCACTACACACACCCTGTGACATAATTGTAATTTAATGAGGTATTCCGTGGCATGCAAAATATAATTTGTGGAGCAGAAGAGATGTTAAAGAATCAAAGGGATATTTTGTCAGTTGGCGCTCGGTTGACGTGGTTGAGCGCGCGGCGGGAAAGAGAGCGCGAGCAGAGCGAGGAATCCCAGAGTGGAAAGCACGTAGACGAGAGAGCGGGTGGGCGGTGGGGTGGGCTGTGAAAGCTCGTCGTCTCTGTCACGCGCAATGTGTATGTCGCTTATCAATCGAATGGGCTTCTGGCGCGCTTTTCCAGCATTTCCAATAAATTTTAGTCGTGTGCGAACAGCGGTAGAACGCACTTAAGAGGTAATTTTCGCATCCGTAAGTCTCTCTCCCGGGACAGCCTTGGCTCCCTGGCATCACGGGCTGAGCTCTCGCTGGGGGTGTTTTTCCGCCGACACTCGAGGATTAGTGATTTGCTAATTGGAGTGATTCTTGTGAGAATTGTTGCGCCCTTCACGCCTCCTTGTACCGTCTCGTGAGTGTGCAGTTACATGGCGACATTCTTTTGTGAAGCATCTGCATTTCAAATTGTAGTTGAGAGAATTGTTTGGGAAAAGTTTTTCTTTTGCATTTTTGAGCTGTGAAATTTGTAAATTCAATTTATTTTCCATTTTCATGCCACTTTCTGTTCTGCATTTTTCTTCTTCTGCTCAGTGCGGAAATGAGGGAAATTCGGGAGGTTCCTTTAGCTCATGACTGGGCACTGTGATGGCCCGTGGCATTTACTGGGGAGTGAATATATTTCTCAAGAGTGAAAATTAAATTGTGCGCGATATTTTGGATGTCCCCGCAAAATTTGGAGGGCGATGGAAAAAAAATGTCAAGAGGAAGTTGAAGTAATTGTCTGTCGAGGGAAAAATGTGCAAAATAATCGGGTGGCGAAACATGGAGGAAATGATCCTCCTTCCGTTCCATCTGAGTGTCTGCCTTTTTTTCGGGGGGAAAATCAACTAGTGGTGGCATATTTCAGTATATGGCAAGAGCGTGTGCCTCTCATCCTGGCGGGAGAGCAGTGAAAGTTTTTATTTAGCTGGTGGATGACGGCGAAACAGTGTGTGTGCGAAACGAAAATAGATTTCCCAGGATTTCACAATAAATTTCCCACCAAGCGAAGGACAGAGCGGGAGAGCCCCCATGCAAAGGAGCTGTTTTTCCGTATGCTCACATTTGTTATCAGTTTGACGAGGCGACGAAACTCACAAAAGACAAATATATGATTTAGTGATGTAGGAACGAGCGGAGCTTTCCGGAGCATCAGTTCATATGTGAGTAATTGCAGTAAGCGTTTCTTCCATATTTTTGCACTTCAGATTCCAACCTAGATTTAATGGAAAATGCTATGAATACAGAGTGTGACAACTTGATCGCAACTTTGTGTTTTTCTTCATTTTATACCCAGTGTTTTTAAACTTTTTCAATTTGATCAATTTATTTTGGAAACTTTGAGAAGACGTATTTTAATTGCAGAAACACATAAATAATATTATTACTACATTATGCATAATAACGCTTGGATAATTTCAGAACAAAGTTTGAATTGACTGAGGAAACTTCCCTCAATCAATCACTAATTGTAAATTTTGAGAGAAATATAAGTTCTCGTAATCATAATATAATTGGTATAAAACACCCCAAAGCGATTGTGAAATGGTAAATGAGCATGATTAATAGTGTTGCACTTTCATTGCCGCACTCTGTATTTGTGTGCCTTTCAATAGAGACAGAAATTCCTGTGAAATTTTCAATTCACTCTGTTTTCCACTGCTTCCACCTTTCCACTGACGCCATGACTCCAGAGAAAATGCCCTTCTGACACTCTGCACACCTTCTCCTTCCTGTCCCTCGATGAAGATCATGATTTTTCCACTTGAGCAGCATTTGCCTGAGTCACTCTCGTCGAATCCATACAGAAATGATTGGAATAATCACTCCCCCATCGCAGTGTCGTAGTAAGAATGTGAAAAGTTTTGTTCTTTCGCCCCTCTCGTCAAACACACCTTTCCGTAACAGAGATAAAACAGTCACGATTTTCCTTTATGCTAAGTTGTACGGAATACTTTAGTCGCAGCATTTTCAGAGAATATGTTTTACTGAAATTTTCTCAAATCCCAAATATACCAAAACACGGGTGGATAAAAAAGTTTGATGGCAATTTTAACTTACTAAACGAATCAATTTTCTGTCACTGTTTCATTATTGATTTGTGCCCTATATTTTACATGAAGCATTTTGACGAAAAATGAATTTGAGCAAGGACGAGAATATTTTGATGAATATGAAGTATATTAAAAATGCTAGAGTGACCCTGTTATTGACACCTTTGTTTTGATGGATTTTTTGCCATGCAGAATTCATGTCCAGAATATTTTGCTTTGATCCCATCACATTTTGAGTTTAAACAATAAGAGGGAGGTTTGCGCAATTGTGTTGAAAAATAATATTGAAATGAAATATTTGTCAGAATACAAATGAAATGAAGCATTATGGAGTTATTTGGAAGTCCGGAAAGTGTCTAATAATGCTAATAAATAATGAACAATTCTATTATGGTATTAATTTTTACAGAATTCAATCCACACATTATTATTGTTAATCTCCTGTTTCGCTTGTTATGCAAAATTCGAGTGAAAAAAGAGGGTGGGAAAGTGGGAAATGTGAAAATAAGGGAAAATCCTACAAAAGCATGCAATTTCCAATGATTTATTGCACTGGCGCTTGAAAGTTTTTCCATTACGAGTATTTAAATTTGTACTGAAAAGATTTTAAATGGTTTCACATTGTTATGGAAATATCAAACGCACTGAAGACTCAAATATAATGCCAGATGATTGTGAAAGTTCCGCACAATTGTGAAGATGGTGAAGATGCTTTCTGCATGGGGGTTAACAAGTTGAGCGATATATACAACATGTCTATCTGTTGCTCGATTCGAAATGTGTCTCTCTTCATCCCCCTTCAATTCTCCGCACATCTTTATGAGCACTTTCACGTTCCTGTCGAATCACTATAGAAAAAAAAGTATGGGAACAATTTGAATTTATACGATAATGTATGTATTATTGTACATAATGATGTGCTTTCAACTTTTACAGCATTAGATGGCGCACTCGAATTTTCAATCACGCTTCCACGCGGTGGTTGGGGGTAAAAGTGCGTGCTTTCCAAAGCAGATTCGCCCACCACTCCATCCGCACCCTCACACTCCTCGGAGAGCAACTTTTTTCACTGATTTTCACCCAATACTGCGTGTTCCCTCACTCCACGGCGCGTTTCATGTCAAATGTGGAATTTGCGCGAAATTAAACTCTCAAAATTAGTCCTTTGCGGAGGCTCTTTTTTCCCTATTACCTGAATGGCTGTCTTGCTTTATTTCCACCCCGACTGCGGCCCGGGGGAATTGTCTTTCGGGGGGGAGAGGTGATGACAAAAAAGGCGGATAGACGATGAATTCGGGATGAAGAGTGACTTGACAAAATACTAAAGTGTTTTATTTTTGCCTTCCCTCGTTTCACTGCGGCTTTGCATTCAAATGTGTAATCTGGCGCGCTCGTACTTTAAAAACCGCAGGCAAAGGCGAAGAGACTTCCTTAGCTGCGGCAGTGTTTAGAGGACCAAAAGCGACGGAGTGGCATTGTGTATACAAGTGAAATCGATTGGGTGGGATGTGTTCAACAATACAAATTCCTCACTTTTTTCCCAATGACGAGAGCTTTTAGATTTGAAACAGAGATTTTTTAGAGTGTGGGACGAGAATGAGAAATCCCTAAAAGCCTCGTAGAGGAAATTAATTGACTCCATAATAAATCTGAGGGTGTGTATGTTGGATTTAGTCAGAGCTGGGGAGGGAATTTTCATTACTATACCACGCTGTAGTCTTTTTCTATTGAGCCAATTTTATTGTA